TTATAGCTTTTATAGCTTAAAGTGAGGCTTACAGTGAAGTCCGCGCGATTTCTTTTTATTTTGCCTTGTAAAATTCTAAGAACTACAAAATGTTTTTTGTCCAAAAAGTCAAGGCTCTCTCACAGGTCCGCGATAAAAGGACAAATAGGCGTGAGAAACCCAACACTTCAATCATGGGTAATTCTCTGAAGAGAGAGAAACGTCTGACAAGCCAGTGGCAGGGGGAGTTCCAGCAACTTCTCTCTGAGCAGTGTGCCGAGAGGTCGGCATGGGAGGCCGAGAAAGCGGCATGGCAGGCCGAGCGGCAACGGTTTTTGGAGGAGCGAGGGTACCTCCAAAAACTGTTGCGGCAGACCCGCCGTGAGCTTCATCGGCTGGAGGCCTTAGAGCTAGATGCTCACAGAGAAGAAATGTTGGACCTCTATCGGCTGCAAGCCGATGGGGTACTTCCCCTACCACCACCCCCACCGCCTTACAGTCTATACCCTCGGCTGTAAGGCAAACCGGCCATTGGCCATCCAACGGCCCTTTTCAGGGCCACCCAAACGGTCCTTTTCAGGACCACCAACTCATTCAGAAAGAGTTTTCATATTCTAATAATAGTTCTATTTTGATTTTAAATAGTAAAAGTTCTATTTTGATTTTAAATAGTAAACAAAACCAAAAATCATATTAAAATCATATTAAAAAATCCTATCAAAAATCTTAATAAGATCCTATTTCGCCCATTCGTGGCCATATTTTAAGATCATATATTAAATTTTCTCGCCTAATATAGTATACATTTCAAATACATTTTAAATTATTTTAAAATCTGTTTTTAAGGAGGGATTATTGCTCTCTATGAGGTCCGCGCTGAGGGGGGCTCGGAAATTTCGATCCCGTTATTTTGCATAAAAGGCCGACCGATCGCGCTTTTCTGTCATTCCATCATGGGTTCTTATATTATGTTGGACGGAGAAGACTGGTTTGAGGTGATGGAAGAGATGTTGGTCATTCCAGAGTGTGCAACACAAACTGTACCAGAAACAGAGATCGCCCTTGAGCCAACGGATGTTATAGTCGTGGATGATAGCGACGACGACGAGTGGTTAGTGGCCAGTGGCCAGACACCAGCACAACCCTTCGAGCCACTGGTCCTCTCTGAAGATCCATTCTGGGGATATACACCGGCCACTCCACCGAGACCATCAACACCCGTATACGATCCGTTTACTGGTACTTGGACGCTGAAGACTTGGCACCAAACCAGCACGCCATACCAGGACGAAGACGACGCAGAATTTATTAGGCGTATCCGCCTTGGGTAGGCGATTAACCAACCAACGGCCCTTTTCAGGGCCACCCAACTTATTCAGAAAGAGTTTTTTCATATTCTAATAATAGTTCTATTTTGATTTTCGTGCCTAATTTGTAATAGTGTAGTACAGTATACATTTTAAATGTATTTTAAATGTATTTTAAATGTATTTTTGAGAAGGGGGGCTCTCTATGAAGTCCGCGCTGAAGGGGGCCAACTCCATTTCCCAATCTTTTTTTTTTGTTCTAAGGTTTTATCAAAAGGGTGCTCTCTATGAAGTCCGCGCTGAGGGGGGCTCGGAAATTTCGATCCCGTTATTTTGCATAAAAGGCCGACCGACCGCACTTTTCTGTCATTCCACCATGGGGTCTTTCGAGGTGTTTGAAGACATGATATTGGGAGATTGGCAAGAAGAGACGGTAGCAGTCCACACGACGGAGACCCAGTACGAGGGAGACGACGAGGACAGCGAAGAAGAATGGATGTTTGGGGACGAGGAGTGGTTGGTGTCCGACCCATTCCTGGCCGAAATGGCGGACGACATGTATAGTTGGTTGTACGAGGAGACGTTCAGGCCGAACGTTTCCTCTACACCAGTTAGACCAGCCACTCCACCACCAACCGATATTTTCGAGCCCTTTACGGACATCGAAACATTGAAGAGGTGGTACCAGCCCGGCTCGGCCACGCCACCATCAACACCCCGTAAACGGAAGATTTACGACGACGACGACGACGACGACGACGCCATGAGGCATGTCCGCCAACGCCTCGGTTAGACAGTCTAACCACCAACGGCCTTTTTCAAGGCCACCCAAACGGCCCTTTTCAGGGCCACCAAATCATTCAGAAAGAATGTTCATATTCTATTTTGTTTATATCTTTATAAGAACCTTTACAAGAACCTTTCATAAGAACCGTTACAAGAACGTTTACAAGAATGTTTATAAGAACCTTTCATAAGAACCTTTCATAAGAACGTTTATAAGAACCTTTCATAAAAAAACAAAACAACTTTATAAGAACCTTTCATAAAAAAACAAAACAACTTTATAACAACCTTTATAAGAACTTGTCTCCTACATCAATGTAGACTACATCTATATCTCCCCTTAGCAAGGAACACCCTTAGTATAGAATAATCAATGTCCGTAGTATAGATTTAATAGATTTACCACTGTTCCCTTCTCACATCCCCTGAATTCTATTATAGATTATATCCTAGATTATATCATAGATTAATTACTGCACTAATTGGGGATTTCCCCTAAATATATGAATATACCGACGGGCAAACTCGAGAGAAAACGAGCAAAGGAAGGGGGAATCCCCGAGAGCAATCCCAAGAAAGAACGAGAGAACATGAGCAAACGGAGGGGGGGTCCCCAAGATAAGGGCGAGGGAATCCCCGAAAAAGGGACCCAAGACCCAAGCACAGAAAGGACGAGAGAAATCCCGAGAAAAAGGAAATCCCTATGACGTCATGTCAGGTATGACGTCATTAACGTATGACGTCATCACCGGAAGTGACCGTTGCTATGGATGTCGTCATCGCCGGAAACGGAAGTGACGTCATCACCGGAAGTGACGTCATCACAGGAAGTGACGTTGTCTTATGACGTCATCACCGGAAGTGACGTCATCTTATGACGTCATCACCGGAAGTGGCCGTTGCTAGGGACACAGGAAGTGACCTGCGCATGCGCAACACCGTTGCTAGGGCTTCTGCGCATGCGCGCCATCGTCCCTATACCCACGCCTCCACTACTATTGTGATAGATAAAGACCCCCGGGTTGTCAGATTAGGTGAGCTAAAAAGAAATTGATTGAAACAGTATTACCCCCTCGAGGTAATAGAAGTTGGGATAAATAAGGCTTTTGGCAATTGATATCCAAACATTGAGGGCTACTAAAGGACAAGACAGTAAGGATTATATCATTACCTTTGTCGCTACTCATAACCCCCAACATCCCAACTTCATTAAAACAATGTACGAGAGGAGAACACCCCTGGCATCAAACGACAACCTCAGAACGAAATTTGATAATGTTCAATTCATTAAATCACAATCAACTACGTAACATGCCTTTCGTTTCCTGTTCAAGGTTTTAGACTTGATTTTTCCCTTTCTACTACCCACAGTTCGAGGTTCACATCTATCAACACACATATCAATGTGTCACTAACGACATTTTCATCAAGTGAGAATAAATATGTTATGTTTTTATTTATTTCACATTTATTCGTACATTAGTGTACACTTCTTTACAATATTTACAATATATATATATAAATACATTTAGTCAAGGCATAAGTAAGTAATTATTTCATTAAGATCTTTTTTATGTGAGTAAATTTCGTGCGACTCACGCATATTTATCATATCTACAATTTGACCAGCTCTTTTAAGATCAGACTGATTTACACTGGTATTATCCCATTTATTTATTATGTTTAAAAGTTTATTTACTTTTATATTATATAAATCGTGTTAGGTTCCCCTAATCGACAGCCCGGCGATTAGGAATGTCTGCACGCGTGACGTCGAAGGTTGCACGCGAAGATTGAGCGCTTGGTGTACATGTTGATAAACTTTATGAAGAGTTAGACGTACAACACTTTCTGAGATAAAAATCACGGAAAAAGATGCGGGAAGTGGATAATCCGAGAATTTAATTAGGATTCGATATTTGTAATAAATAGTCAGCGATTAAAGACATCGTCTTCTGTATGCAATGAATTCTCCTCCGACCTCGCAAGGGTTGCTATAGGTACCGAGGGAGGTAAGTCACGTGACACAAACATGACCTCTTTTGGTCGATTTTATAGCCGGGTATTCCTTGTCAATTACAATGTTTTGAGAAGGATTTGAAGAAAATTATGTACAGTTGTAGGCGATGTCACTTCGGACGTAGTAGCGGATTATAGCGGAGGCGCCGCCGAAAAATGGAAAATCTCCAAATATAAAACTTTGAACTGGGGGAGAAAGCTTTATATGGACAACGGAGAACAATTGTTCGGTTCATAGGGACCATTTTCCCCGATTCATGGGTCGTTTTCTTGGACTGCACTGAAGTCTTGGACTTAGACATGAGACTCAGGGTTCCTGCCACAGATTCGACGTTTTCTACAAAAACAATTCAGGTCGGAGGCTGGCACCTAACCACTATAACCTGCTAATGCCATTCGTAAATAGGGGCCCCATTGGACCCAGTGAGAGGGTTTAACGCCCGCTTGACACAAATTAGGTCATTTCGGGACTGACATATTGTTCAATCCTATTTCAATTCCTTGTCACGTTCAAGCGGAGAATAGAAACCACGCTACTTGATTCAATAACAGATGGTGCGACAAAGTGCTCGATAACTTATTATCATATTTTGACTATATTCGATAAATATAGTAACGTTTATAGAGATCCTGGGGAGTTGGGTGGCCGAATGGTTTACGCATGCGCTTTGTATCATTGAATACTCCCCAAAACCTGGCAGAAAATGTATATTCAAACCCCTTTCGTCGATTCTACATCAAAAAGTCAACAAAAATCGCCACGCAAAAGGGGGGAAAGGGAAAGGGAGAGAGACTAAAAATAACTTGGGTCCTTGTTTCGGTGAGCTGGGTTCATATGACGTCAATGTGTCATTCAACGGGGCAGCGCGGTCTAGTTATTATAGTGTAGACGTTATTGATAGAAACCAAACAAGGAAGTTATAGGAAAACTAAAGTTTGGTCTTAAATTCGATCTGAGGAGACCAGAGAAATGGCGTATGCCACAGGAGATTATGACGAATTAAACTTTGAAGTTGTAAGAGAATTGGGAAAGGGGTCATTTGGAGTTGTTCACCTAATTTCGCACAATAAAACCGAAGAACAGGTAGTCTATATTTTATAATTTGTATGTTTTGTTTTGTATTTTCATATATGTATATCCTGTGTGCGAGTTTTATACTGTCTATTTATGTGAGTGCTCTGAATTTGTGCACGTTCATATTTTTTGTACTTGTATTCTTGTATTTAATATTTTGTATATTGTATGTATGACCTCATGTACAATACTACTCGGTATTCCATTCTTTTCTATGCTAGGCTACAGGTGTTTTTACGAGAAAACAAATCGCAGGGGCGGATCCGGATTTTTTGCAGGAGGGGGTTTCCCAGTTTCCCGCCGAGATAATGTATCTTTGGGGGGGGGGGGGAGGGGTATATCTGGGGTAACCAGAGGTCTCCTTGACAAAACTCAGAAACTGGGATTTTACATTAAAATTTACTAAATACATATACATACTAGGTTGTTTTATTATGCATTAATATGAATAGTCAGACTTTATATGCGCCTTAGCGCCGTCACATGTGTTAATATAAAATGGATATTTGAGTAATGTCCTTGTGGGATAAGTAGGTCAATAATAATGTATAATATAAAGAAGACGGTATATGAAATTGTATACGTTATGTATAACATCAACGATAAATAAATTCATTATTTATACAATTGGATTATAGGAAAATATAACCCAATTCGGTCATCAAGCTCTGTACCACTGTAGGCTAATAAAATAAACCAATTATTTAAAAAGATAAAATAAACAATTTCAATGCTTTAAAGCTTAAGGTCTAAAATAGTGCGTCCTACGGTGGTACGGATAAAAACGTTTAGTTTGAAATGTTTGGTGCTCCTATATATTTTTTTAATTTGGAAATGTTGGTACATTTTATTTTGTGATCTTTTTTTTCCAATAGTTGTAATTGAGAAAGTTTACTGCCGTAGCTTGATTTACCCAAATCTACCATTCAACTGATATTATAATAATTTATATCTATATTTGATAATATGCTGTTCTGTATGTCAAATTGGCATTTTGATTTACATTCGTAAGGTTTTTCTTTCAAAAAATGCTCTTCAAAATGCAATATGAGGGGTATTCTTGATACAAAAACGCTAAAATTTTAATTAACAAGCGGTTGTCATGTAAGATATGCCCACATTTTGCAAGAAATCAATAGAGAACAAGCTAAAAACAAAAACGTTTTTTTTTGTTTTTTTTGTACAATCAGGTACCATAATCAAGAAAGTCACGGCTCAGAACGCGCAAGTATCAAAACCCAAATCTGTGGGATACAACCATATATTTTACGCATCGTTAAAATCGGATATAAATTATGACCTCTACAGAGAGAGAGAGAAATGGAGTTTAACGTCCACTCGACACAAATTAGGTCATTTCGGGACTAACATATGGTTCAATTTTATTTCAATAATTCGCTTGCGCGTAGGGGTCTTTAGCAGTGGGAGGAAACTGGGGGAGAAAACCCACGAGATTGGACAGGCGACTGACCTCTACAGAGTTCACAAGCAAAATTCGCGATTTTCTGTAAAATCAGGGCTATAATCGAATATTGTCAGGAACAGAGATCTTTGGTTTATAAACATAAATGTTAAGTGTCATCAAAATCAGATAAAATTTGTGACTTCTACTGAGTCTACAACCTTGATAATACATACTTTAACACTATTTCCAGACAAGGTGCGGCCATTTTGTCGTGCAGTTTCAGTCTGATTTTCACGAAAGTCAAACTCAATCGTCATTATGGTTTAACGGTGATATATTTAAAGATAAATTATGCGAAATTAGATATAAAGAGCTGGCAGTTCTCACTATAATAGTTCAAAACTAGATAATGTAAAGGGGATATGCTGTAAATTTCAGTCAAATTGTTTCACTCTAAGCCGAGAAAACCTTATTTCAAAATCACTGTAGCCTCGATTGTCATAGTTACCACTGTCACGATAATTAACAAAGTCTCCATTAAAAGGAGCTAAATCGCTAATATTTGGAACTTAGAAATTGACACAAATGGTTCGCAAGGCTTATAATAATGTAATATGACTGTACATAAACTGATTTACATTCAATCGTTTCCGTTTTTACTCTAATTTCAAATCAGTTAAGTTCGGCGAAACACGCCAGAATGGCAACCTCTAGCGTCTGGTTATTCCAGTCTACACCGATAGTGTTTATTGTGCATGCTATCCAGATAAGAATATGACTTCGCCGTTTGACTTGACATGTGGAATATGTCTATAGCTTCGTTCTTCGAGTCCCTTGCTACAGATGGGGTTGAAACGCATCATGGTACACGATTCGTGTACGAATGGTGAATTGTTTGTTTTGTCTTAAATATTGGATATCAGACAAATTGACAAATAATTCGTGCTTTCACTATTGAAGACTTTGGATGATAATGAGTTAGAGATTTAGCTACTCTAATCATCAATGGGCGTTGAACAGCAGATCGGATTCAAATCCAGTCAAAATCAGACACATCAGATGGCATCGAGAGTTGATTAAGATCTGTTCATGTTCAAAAATGTGTAATTAATAGTTTATGTAACATTTCAGACCCAAAGAAAGACCTGCAATGGGCAGATTTAGCTCTTGAAATCGGTTAATAATTGCGGGGCTTAGTCGTAAGGGTATTTTGAAATTCTTGCTTACCACATGTGATAAATAGCCGCTGTATTAGGTATGTCCATAAGATGTATATTTTAAAGTAAAATTCAAAAGAAAATGAATTAATGCCATGCACATCGTGTCGCTTGTGGAGGACGCCATCTTGGAAAACGAATCGTCAATCCGATAGGTCAGCAAATTTGAAGATCTGCCTAATCGATTTGGTAAATTCGATGATTACGTGTAACCGATTAGGCAAATTTTTGCCGTAAACCTGATTAAATAGGAGAGAGATAGAGAGAGAGAGAGAGAAATGGGGTTTAACGTCCACTCGACACAAACTAGGTCATTTCGGGACTAACATATGGTTTAATTTTATTTCAATAATTCGCTTGCGCGTAGGGGTCTTTAGCAGTGGGAGGAAACCGGTAACCTGAGAAAACCCACGAGGTTGGGCAGGCGACCCTACTCCTTGTCACGTACAACCTGTGATTCGAATGAAATAGTTTTATTGCACGTCAGCTCCAACCGGTCTAAATTGCGCCAGCCAGCTAGGTAAGAGCTGTATTGTGGCATGAATGAAATATGCATGATAAACAAGGGCAATTACATTATAATATGTACTTATTATGCAGAGAAAGTCTCTAAATTGTGGCACAGTAGAAAAACAATACACCTTTGACCGAAGGAAGTATAGGTAGCCAATTAAAGAGTTGAAAATATTTTGGTGGCATTAAAATTCTAAACAAAGACATTTAAACTTCTGTGAAGATTGGTATGGATTTATTCTACGTTTATTTGTATAAATGTTCAACCAAGTAGTAGAATTGCTTTTAATATTCCAGACAGCCAATGATTGAAACCTTTGGAGCCCTATAATTTGTACTGAGAAGATTAAGGCGCCCCCATTTGAATGTAATTTCACATGTAACGGATACTAATACAATACACAAATTTTACGATAGGGCCCCCTTTTAAGGCCCCTTCTTCAGCAACAGCATTTATGCCATGGCAAATCCAGCACTGTGTTGCCCCCCCCCCCCACATTAAATTTGAAGAATATCTAAGTACGTCAGATATTAATTATCATTACAGTTAGCCAGGAAAACAATAAGTCTCAAGAATTTGTCAGAGGCTGACAAACAAGCCACACAGAAAGAAGTGGAAGTGATGAAGACAACTAATGATCATCCACATATCTTGTGTTTAAAATGGGCTACAAGAACAAAAGATTATCTATACATATACACCGAATACTGTTCTCGTGGAGATCTTCAAAACCTTTTAAACCAATTGAAAAAGCCAGCTTTTCCAGAGAAGCTGATAGTTTGCTGGCTGGGTCAAATAGCTGATGCTTTAAAGGTAAAATATTTTTTGCCGCTCATCTAACATTCTAAATGTTATATTCGCTGCTTAAAGCGAACCACAAGGCCATGTCTATACGTTTAAGCTACGGCTAAGAATACTAGGCGGGAGGGATAAATATGTCAGTCAATACAGCCGTCTTCAGGAAGTTTCTGAGAGCGATATCTCGTAATCAGTGTGATTTAGTGGTAGGAGAATAAATGATTTCTTTTTAAATTCTTTAAACACAAAGTGCTTATTCAAGCAAAATATCCCGAAAAATCAAATTTGACAAAGTTAAAATCAAACTAGACCTGACAAAGTGACAATTTTGAGAGTTTTTATACTACATTATCAAACAATTACACATAACATTAATTACAAATATCTAGTATAGCAATGTGTATTCAGAAATTCATGTATCGACTTATAGGAACAATTGAGAGTTCGAGGTGTTAGGTTTTAGCTACTTGTCGCGATAATTCGCTAAAACCGATAACCTTAAACAGGGTTCCCGCGGTCCTTGAAAATCCTTGAATATCCATAAATTTAAAATTTCATTTTCAAGGTCTTGAATATCCTTGAATTTCGCGGAAATAGGAAAATATCCTTGAATTTCAGTTGAGATCCTTAATTTTGTTTCAAATGTCTTCAATTCCTTTTAAATATGAGATTATAACGATAGTTGGTAATGTTTTGGTTATTTTTAAGATAAAAAATGTCCTTGAAAATCCTTGAATTTGACGTATATTTATCCTTGAATATCCTTGAAAAAATGTTTGACGAAGCCGCGGGAACCCTGTTAAAGGGCCAATCCTGGTAATATTTTGGAGAATAAAACTGCTTAATTTTGTGTTAAAATCCATTAAAATTCTCTACCTTGGGCCGAGCAACTAAAGAACTTAAACCCGTCAGTCTTTATCTTGAAATGGAGATCGGTGTCCCAAGCTGTATTATGCGGTGACTGGATAAAACCAGGTTTTTATTTTATAAATATATTGTGTGGGTGAAATTGACCTTTTGTTATCAAGTACAGCACTCTTGGGTCATGCACTTTATAGACCTTTAAAGGGACGGGAATCGATTATCAGATAACCCAACGAAAAAATTGACCCAAAATCTTAAAAGGGTTACCTGTCCGGTTAAGCAGTTTTGACGTTCACGTCCAAAGGACTCAATATTTTGAACTGAAATTTTGGCAGAAGGTAAATACACCATTCCTGTATCTTTTGGCGCTTAAATTTTATATGTACTCAGACTTTTATTTTTGAGACTCTGTTGAAATCGGAATAGTCCCTTTAAACTCCCAATGTTTCCTATTAATCAATGGGATTATGCTTCTATATGTGATACAAATCAACACATAAATAAATACAAGGTGAAAATCAAAGCCGTTTTACAAATGGTAACCAGTTATAATAATGTTGAACTCAAAAATTTAGAACAGGATATTTTAGAAAGTTTGTGCCATCATTGTATAGGTATAATATTTTATTTGCCTTTAGTACCTACATGGTAAGAGGATCATACATCGAGACTTAAAACCAGCCAACATATTTTTAACTGGAAAAGCTGATATTAAAATCGGTGATTTGGGTATAGCCAGGTAAGTATATATATATATATATATATATATATAGTTGACAAAATATCAACCCGAGTGTGTCTCATACCTTTACGCAAAATGTGAAAGATATACAAAGTTTGTGGACATTATTTTTGTCAGTTTAAATGAAACTTCAAATGTTTTTATAAGAATGGAAAACACAGCTTGGATGAGTTCCATGTGGTTCAAATCGGACCTTCCGTTTTGGAGTTACGTCACCCCCCCCCCCCCCACACACACACACACACACACACACCTTTTACGCAAAATGCGAAATATGAACACAGAGGTCACAATTTTTGTCCGATTGAGATGAAATGTTCTGGAGTTATTCCCCTTGTATTTTACGCAGATATCTTAAGGATCAAAAGATCATTGATGAGTTTGATTTTGGTGGGCATTGGATCCTTGTTCTCGAAATACTGAGGCGGATTCAAGGGGGGGGGGGGGCTGAAAGTGCCTTTTCTCAGACCCAAATATGTCCGTTCCCAACCAGTTGCAGGGATCCCAAATGACTCAAACCATCGATTCAAACACACCAGTCTGGTATAATTAATGCTTCCACTTTCAAACGAATTCTTGTTGTTTAGCTGACGGTGCCCTAATCCTATAGAGTGACTATAGACAGAAATCTTGTGCAATCGGCGGCGTATACACTTATGTCCATCACCGACGCGCATGGGTGCAACTTGATGTAGCATTGTTTCATGTGTGGACAGTACAAAGTACAAGTTACAAGGCTTAAATAGTGAAGTGGCTAGGGAATAGATTCGTCTTTTTTCCCATCATAATGCCTCGCTCGCCCTTGACAATATTATTTTCGAGCCGCATGTTCAACTGGCTTTTTTTGCTCGATTTTAAGGCTCATTTTCAACGATTTCCAAACGTTTGTATCAGCCAAAAAAAATCCCCTCTCAGCGGCGTGCCCCGTCTCCGCGGTCAGTGCCCTCATTTTGCGGCGCCCCCCCTTTTCAAAATTCCTAGATCCGCCCCTGAAATATGACCCCTGCTTTTTACACAAAATGATTTATGGAGTCGGTAGACCCTTCTGATCCTTAGTATATCTGTCCCAGCAAATACGCTACGGATAAAAAAATCTTGAATAAATTCGATTCTGGTGCATATCAAACCTTAAAGGCTCAATACCACTCTTGTAACCGAATAATATGTCCTAATCTTTATTCTGGTCAACAAATTGTAATATTTTACAATATTCCAATTAACTGATGATACAAATTTCATCTTAACACACCTAATTTTAAAAAATGGAAAAATTCAACTAAATGATTTGAAAAGCCTGACGTAAAGCTTTTCAAATGTGACTTAGATTTAAATATATTTTCGAACCCTCTGGACAAGTAAAATAAGATTTAATGGATAATTTACACAACAGGTATGACACTAACACATCTAGTACTTAGAATAAGGCTATTTTTTATTTTCTGGAGCCGTCAAGCCAGCAAGAGTGTTATTGTCCCTTTAATAATAATACAGCCTATGTTGTTAATTCAGGCTTATATTTACGTTTAATATAATGAACACTGTTGAAACACCATCTTACAACCTTTGTCAGCATTCTTATGACATACAGTACTATTATTATTAAATTATAACAGTTTTTAAATGATTTTCGATTTTCAAATTCAATGTGAAGAATTGAGACAATTATGAGAGGACAAATCCTATTGATTTTTCCTTTTCTCTCTCTGTCTCTTGTAAAATGTGGACGTATCTTACATGACAACCGCTTGTTTTTTTGTGTATTTTTTTTAAGTCTAACGCCACTCATTTCACTTTATTAGATAATAAATCGATATTATCGTGATACAGGGTTATGAAAGTGACAGAGCCACTACCGAAGACAATAATTGGTACTCCTGTTTACACGAGTCCAGAAATGTTTAATGGTCGTGGATACAATGGGAAGGTGAGTCGCGGTGGCTCAGTGGTCCTGGATTGACCGACAAAGTTCCTCAGAAATTTTCGGCGTGCTTTAGGCTTGACAGTGATGGAGGAGGGGAGGGGCTGCAATGAACCCTTGACATATGGAATCCAATAGCGAGGTGCATGTTGTCTTGATTAACCTGGTTGAACATTAAACCCTATTTCAACCATTCATTGAAGACCGTTGCTTACATTACATTACTGTAAAACACTGCTCTCTTTCTTAGGTTTCACTGGGGGTTGGATGGCCGAATGGTTAGCACGTGCGCACTGTATCATAAGGCTTGTCATTGAGTCAACTGGCGTGGTTTCGATTCCACGGCTGTACGTGACAAGGAATAGGGTCGCCTGTCCAACTTAGTGGGTTTTCTCCGGGTCCTCAGGTTTCCTCCCACTGCTAAAGACCCCTACGCGCAAGCGAATTATTGAAATAAAATTGAACCATATGTTAGTGCCGAAATGACCTAGTTTGTGTCGAGTGGACGTTAAACCCCATCTCTCTCATCAAGACACCACTGTCTTGTCCTACTAGTTTCAATCCATGGCTAGTCTGGAGGTCGCGGGTTCCCTCCCGGTGTTTGCCGGGAAAGTTAATCGGGATTATCCGGCGTGGTTTCCCTCCACAGTGGTGCAGGACGGAGGGGCCTGACAAGGTCAGCTGTCTAGTCGTTCGGATGAGACAAAAAAACCGAGGTCCCTTGTACTCATTAATTGGCGTACACGTAAAAGATCCCTTGACAGTTGAATTCGATATATAAAAGTAGGCCATAGCTCCGCTTTCCGTCCAAATTTTCCCTCATAGCACACTGTTAGCTCAATCGGATGAGAACAGTAGGACGTTAAACCCCATTTCATTTTATTTCAATCCATTAACAATGAAGTCAAGATGTTTATTTGAGAACATGTAGCAACTAAACGAGCAGACCTCACTCCACCATGGACCCGCCCCTTCTCAATCTGTCAATATTATTTTGTTTCCAGACAGATATCTGGAGTTTGGGTTGTGTTATATATGAATTGGCTACAAATAAGCTGGCAATTACTGCTTCACATCGTACTGGTATTGGCATGACCTTGAGTGAACCAGTAAGTAGAAAAGAAAATTATTATTTTTTTAAATGAAAAAGAAAATTATAATATTTTTAAACATGCATTATGCAGAAATGTTATCAAAGTTTTTAATTAGACATTAATTAACCCCTGATGGCATCGTTAGCCTGCGATATTTAGTGGATTTAAATGCGTTTTGTGATGGATGATTTAACGTAAAAATGCATAATCAAGACTTTGTTTTTTTTATCATACCAACGCTAGTTTAGACGATCGAGGCTAGCCTAAAATTTAATTGCTAATATCTCGGTTCAGAGTGAAGCAATTTGACTGAAAATTTCCGCATATTCTGTTTTCATTATCTATTTTTTAAACTATTATAGCGAGAACTGTCAGCTCTTTATATAATCTTACTTAATATCCCTTTAATGAAGAAGAAACGATATTTTATTCAATATAACTCCACATGATCATACAGTCTTAAGGATACGAAAACAAGCAACATGCGAATATCGCTTCCAGACATGATGGTTATTTTTAACGAAAAAGAAAAGTGATTAGTTTTTAATTAGAAATTTCAGCTTATCTTGAAATTTCACTGTTAAAAGAAAATTAAACAATTCCGGGGTTGTTTTATATTACCTCCCTTTTAATATGGAAGTAAGAAAGAATCCTATCCACATTCCAAATCTCTGGATTGCATATGACTAGATGTTAACGATACATTATGGGAGATTAGATAAAGAGCTGGCGGTTCTCACTATAATAGTTAAAAACTAGATAATGTAAAGGGAATTTGCTGAAAATTTCAGTCAAATTGATCCATTCTGAACCGGGAATTTAGCGATTGAATTTTCGGCCTAGCCTCGATCATCATTACTCGAGTTTGTACGTTAAAAAACATAGTCTCGATTATCCATTTCATAATTAAATCATGAATGGATGTCGAACAGCAAATCAGAACCTAATCCAATTAACATCGCAGGCTAGCGGTGACATCGAGAGTTGATTACGGTCTGGATAAGTTAATTAATGTCTAATTAATAATTTAGATAACATTTCAGGCCTACAGAAAGATCTGCTATATACAGATTTAGCTCTTGCATAATGTATGTTTAACTTTAAAGTTTGCGAATCCCCGGTTGTACGTGACAAAGAGTAGGGTCGCCTGTCCAACCTCGTGGGTTTTCTCCGGTTTCCTCCCACTGCTAAAGACCCCTACGCGCAAGCGAATTATTGAAATAAAATTAAACCATATGTTAGTCCCGAAATGACCTAGTTTGTGTCGAGTGGACGTTAAACTCCATTCCTCTCTCTCTCTCTCTTGACACTTATTTCTCCTAATACAGAACATAATAGGGTTTGATTTTTAACTTGCTCAGGATGTGATTCATTGACATTTATTCCACACACTTTCGGAAATAACATGGAACGGAGGCTTACTCATATATACCCGTCTTCATCAGTCCGTCAGTCCAATCGATGCAGGACGACTGAGGACGTTAAACCTAATTTCATTCCATATACGCATGAAAACCAGATCCAGATGCTAATATAATCCTGGCTGCAATTTTTAGCCGAGATAATTCTTATCTACGGCTGCAATTGATACACGCAAGTAAAATTAGGTTCATTTGAAAAATTTTCAACACATAGCATCATAGTTTGCATGGAAATAAGTGATTATGTTACAAATAGTGAAGAGTGGAACACAGAAATCTTAATTTTATCATACCGAACAGTTTTTTCTGTATTTTCGAGTGATATAATATGACGTAATTCTCGTACGGCGGCCATTTTAACTAAACAAAAATTTCGCATAGCAGTTGTGTTAAATCAAATCATATAATTATGCGGTAAGGTTTCACCTTTATTTCAATGAGAATTGGTTTATTATATGTTAACCTATGCTCAGTACAGTTTGGGATCAGTGTAATTGGAAATTAAGGGAGTTATAGGCCAGTAACTTTTTTGCAGTCAAATGGCTACAAAACTTGCGCAAATTAAGGCCTTAGGACGGTCCACTACTGTGACTAGAGTAAGACGTAAGACATCAGTAGTGGAACCATTTCTAATATATATGACCCCAGTATACCTAGAAATGGTTCCACTACTGATGTCTTCCGCCTTACTCCAGCCACAGTAGTGGCTTGTCCTACAGAGTTCCTTTGCGCAAGTTTTTTTTAGTGAAATCACTACAAAAAGATTACTGGCCTATAGCTCCCTTAATTTACACATAAACTGACTCAAAACAGTAGTGCACCTAGCTTAACATATAATAAATCAATTCCTATTGAAATAAAGGTGAAGCCTTACCGCATAATTATATGATTTGATGAAACCCAACTGCTACGCGAAATTTCAACTGGCTGGTGTCGGGCGGCTTGTGTAAAACGTCATTACAAGAAACATCGCTATGCAAATGTAGAACGCATAACCACAAAGAAAAACTGTTCGGTAACTATTTTAGTGATCCAGTCTTCACTATTTGTCATAGAATTACCAATTCCAATACAAACTGTAATGATATGTGTTGACAATTGTGCGTTTGAACCTATTTGAACTTGCGTAAGGATTCTTAGACTGTATCAATTGTAACGTTAACACACAGTTTAACGTTACAAGTATAGTAACTACAGTATTATGGAGCCGAATCGTTGTCATATTAAGAGAAAATATAGTAGTTAAAATTGACAAATTATCATAGTCAAAATGGTAAAAATGGTCATTTTCGAGATTTTTTACCTTTAAATATCACATAACACAAAATCACTATATTAGTATCAAAACAAACCAAAAAAATCTAGTTATGTTTTTTCACTTTCTAATTTTCGCCTTTGCAAATTCACTCTAACTTTTTCATCTTTGCATTTTTCAACTATCAGAATTTCTCCATTGTAATTTCCACCACTAAAATTTCTCCAATCGAACGGACAGAGGGCGTGGTTCCGGGTACAGCCGAAGTTGACGTCATAAGACATCAGTATTTATCGTTTCGGCTAAAATTACTACTCCATTGGGTTATTCTTAAGAATTGTCCGATTTTATTGGGGTTTTTTTGGGGTTTTTTTTGGAGAAATGAAATAAATTCATTGTCATGTCGAACCACTTTTTGTTTAATGAGTTACATCATCGAACCTTGAGGTTGGCTCCATTGTCTTAATGGACCGGATGAATCTTTGACAGCATATCGACATGGATGTGAGCGAATTTCTGGCGTTATATCTGAAAAAAGGTGAAACTAAAAAAGAGGTGCCTGGCTGCCTTAATCAATTTAAAAAAAAGCTTTACAGTTATTAGACGATGTAATAAATTGCAAACAAGATAAATAGGGCATGGTAGAGAGTATCATCTTTCGCCAGGAAGAGTTAATCCGCCAAAGTTATTTATTCCACAAGGACAGTTACAATATTTAGTTGATAAAGATCTGTAATGTGGGAGTTAAATAATGCGAAACTAGAAACAAAAGTTATATTAATTAAAATACAAGGCGGGCCTAATTAGGCCTATACGTACCTTTCCGACAAGACTCAAGAGTTAAAAAAAAAACCCTTATATTATTGACGGTCGGGTGGTAACATGTTAGTAATAGTTATTTAATTTTGATCATTAGCATTTTATACTTTTGCAAAGCTGAATATTTTTTTTTAAAACAAGTATCCGGTAACCAGTATGTAGGCCTAATAAGTTTTATGTGGTCATCTTTTGATGTTGGCGTACAAGTACTTCAAATAAAGTACACCTCTATGGTACCTACAACTAAACAATTACCTACAAATAACATATTACGTTAAATATTGTTTTATATAATTAATTAATCACCAGGTGTTTTTATAAGTCAAAATCCAGTAGGCCTACGCCGAATCCATTCACTTGATTTGACATGCTTATTGTTTGAAATATATGTGTAGCCTATATTGTGTGTCGTGTCCACGGGTTTGTATTGTGTAATTGTTTATGTGTGATGCGGTCCTCCTGCTCTTACTATTCTCTAAGCTAACCGAAGAACTCCAGATGCATCAGCGGCTTATATCAACTTAGATTTATGACGTCGTGTGCCCATAGTCCCTATCAGGAAGCATTAATCTTAGTCCAGACGATAAAAACAGATGAGTTATGACGTCATCTTCGGCCGAACTCGGAAACACGCCCCTTTCCTTATATGGTCAGTTAGATTGGAGAAATTGTGATAGTCGAAAATGCAATGAAGAAAATCTGATAGTTGAAAATGCAAAGATGAAAAATTTACAGTGAATTTGCAAAGGCGAAAAGTAGAGAGGGAAAAAAACAAAACTAGATTTTTAGTTTGTTAATTTTTGTCGAGCTATTTTGTTTTATGGTAAATATCCATTAAAATGTATTAAGTGTTATATGATTTTTACATGTGAAAAATCTCGAAAATGGCCATTTTTACTATGATAATTTTGCAATTTTAACCATGATATTTTCTCTTAATATGGCAACGATTCGGCTCCATACAGTATACCCAGTTGAGTAAAACAGAACGATACCACTGGGGAGGAGGAAGATACTAAAAGAAGAGAAACAAATTTGTACGTGCCTGTTCTATAGGATCATTGTACTTTTGTAACAAAAAGTGTTTGAAATAGTTTTATTTTACGTCCGCTATATCGCTAACAAATTGTAAAAATACCGGATTCACCCAACAAATATGACCTAGTTATGAAATAATCCCATAGTTTTTTCCCGAAAACTTTCTGAACGCGATACAGTTTTTAACTGATTTATTTCAAGTTTGGTGTGAGAACGAACCCTTGCGATGTTCACTCTTCTCTGTTGGATGACAACCCGCGGGTTTTTTTTTTTTTTTTACCGTTTTTGTCTGTCAGTAATTTAAATAATTAAAATACAGGCTTGAATTGAAGTAGACAGATTACCTACACGTAGTCTGTCTGTGGGCAGAATCATTTTTGTAAGGAAATTTAAAAAAACCTATTTACATTAATTTTAATAGCCATCAAACCTACCAGACACATACAGTCAAGAATTGTGTAGTGTTACCTTAGCTATGCTGTGTAAAGATCCAGACTCTCGGCTAAACGCACAAGATATCATCAGTAGGGAGCCAGTAAAAAGTTATCTTCGAGAACCTTATCTTGTAAGTACTTTTGGACGATATCTATAACCATAGTTTACAATGTATTTTGTTTCAGTAGATAAGCATAATGTGTTTATAAATAGAGACTTGGTAAGCGGATTTTTTCCCCATCCGTATCACGTATCCGTATCGTCACGTGATACGTTGGGTCAATGTAGTTTTAGAGTTTTGGCATATTTTCGCGCCGCGTATAACGTATGAATAGCTGAGCTGAGCTTAGTTCTATTACAGCAAGATCACTATCAGTACCGGTACTAGTCATGTGCCTTGCCTACAAATTACTGGAGGGAGTCGATGGGCTATTAAAACAAAATTAATGTCGGATCTTACTAAAAATCTTTTGACATCGACTCGAAAGCAATTTTTGGTTTCACTAATGTACCATTTCAAAAAGTTTATACCCGGCCTTTACCTTAATAGAATCACAGCACTTACAGATTTGCAAGGTGCACTACCTGGGGTATCTCACGGAGAGAAAAAACGGCGAAAGAAAAGCGTCTAACCTTTCTCTTCTATAATACATGAGCGGGTATTGTTTTTAATAAAAGCATTGTTTTTAATAAGAACATGTTTCATAGTAAATATTATAGGATTTAGCACCAAATAGGAAGAAAAATAAAGAAGATTAAAACATTTGAAAAATATGAAGACAAAACCCCAAAGTTAATCAGTGAAGATAGTTGACAATTAATCACTGCTTACCTTTTATTATGCACTTCTTATTGTATTGCAGCCACAGCCAGAGTTCGAATCTCTGAAATCAACAAGACTCATTTAATTTTGGGCCAAAACAACCGATTAAGACTTCTGCGGAAATGTATCGTACAGATATTGGTGTGCCAAAAGACGTCCTCTCCACACAAAATATGGATAGCGACCAAATAACTGAAGCTCATGTAGCTTTCTCAGACAATTAATCAATGAGTGTACATGTATTAAATTGAATTTAAAGGAGCTAAACCGCTAATATTTTGGATCTAGAAATTGACACAAATGGGTCGCAACGCATATAATAATGTACTGTGAATGTATATAAACTGATTTACATTCAATCGTTTCTGTTTTTACTGCAATTTCTAATCAGTTATGTTCGGCGAAATACTCCAGAAGTCTCAATCGAATGGCAGTCTCTAGCGCCTGGTTATTCCAATCTACACCGATAGTATTTATTGCGCATGCTCTCCAGATAAGAATATAGCGTCACCGATTGACATGACTTGTGGAATATATCTAGCCCCTTTCTACGAGTCCCTTGTTAAAAAAGACGCTGAAATGCACCATGGTACACGATTCGTGTAACCAACAGTAAAATGTTTATTTTGTCTTAATTATTGGATATCAGAAGCCCATCTTTTCCCCATAAGGTTACAACATCAATGTTGATTTAATTTGACAAATAATTCGTATTTTCAATGTCAAAGACTTTGGATGATATTGAGTAAAAGCGACTTAGCTACTCTACCTTTGACGATTTGTAACTAGGATTGCAATAGAATTCATTTGCCTCGGATCTTATAGATGCTACATCGCAATTTATATCTGATTTGATGAATTCTAAAATATATGTTTATATCTATGGAAGGGTATCGCTGCCAACATAGGCGTAGGAGCCTGGGGGGTCTGCAGCCCTCATCCCACTCTCCAGATTCGGTGAACCATCCAATTTTCGGGCAAAGTATTTCCGTTTTTTGTGCACAAACATCAGATAAGGAGACCATATATCATTGAAATATAATTGTAAAATGAAATGGCTCGCGGTTTACATATTGAACACTATACCATTTGTGGAAAACATATTTTAGTTAATGATTAATTCAATCTGAAATTGTTTGGACACATCAAATGCTCTGCTAATTCGAATGACTATTTGTAACAAGTACATGTACAAAGTCCCAATACTTATAATGATAAAGAACAAAATTCCTCTAAGGCCAAAGTTAAATATAAAACGTCGAATATAAAGTTGTCAGCCGTGGTGCAGGATGGAGGGCCTGGGACGCTAGCAACGGAGAATGTGTAGTCGTTCGAATGGGACGAGAAAGATCATCTGAACGAAAACCCAAGGTCCCGTGTTCACATTGGCGTGCAATCCAAAGAACCACTGACAGTTGGAATTTCATATAAGAGATATCGTAGTGCCATCATTTTTATTGTCGTGAACAAAATTGATGGGCCTTTTCAAATCAGATTGAATCTACTGTAAGCCATGAGATTATCTATAGTTGCAGACAGGGGCGGATTGGGGCCGGGAACCGGCCCGGGCTCCCGTATCGGAGCGGCCCCTTTTACTGACCCCAGAGCCCGAATGGAAAATTTTGAAAAATGAACCCCAAATATGCGATTTGGTGGCATATCTGATTATAACCTCTGTCAAATAATATATCTCATAAATCGATTAATTTAGGCCAAAACCACGACCTACAAGTAATTACAACCATCAACCTGTGAAATTATCATATCGTCATATTATTAATTAAATTATCACTGTATCGTCAAGAGTCAAGAGAATTTAACTGGTTAAAAAATGTGAATAGCTGAGAAAATTTTGACCATTTGATTAACCAGTTAGGAATATTGAATAAGTAGGAATATTTTCATTGAAAAATGACCCATTTTTGTTGCCGGGAGCGCTAGCTGATTCCTCCTGTGATGAAGGCCACGAGACACATTGGTACAGAGTGACGGAAGTGAAATTCATAAAAGCTGCTTTTTTTGAATTTTGGATTTGTTGTTCCAGGTAAATTATTTTACCTTGACTCCGAACTTGAACATTTGACACATTACATATTGATTAATCGAACATAGCATTAGTTCAGATAATGAATATTCGAGTATAAGGCCACACAAATTTAATTATGAGAATTGCGTTATCCTTGACATTTTTGTCAGAAGCGGCGGGCGGAAATAAAAATAAAATTTGATCTTGGACGCAAAATATAGCTTCCACAACAGTGTCGGGTGAATCCGATGAAATTCGGAATCCCCATTGCAGGATTTCGGATGAAATTCGGAATCCCCATCGCAGGATTCCGAATTCCGGCCCACTCCCAGCATACCCGGCCAGAAAGTCTATTATACCAGCCCATTCGTGACTTCAGTGATGGCGTGGCGGCCCGTTAATGCCACCGGCCACATACAACATGATCGGTCTAATACCCCCCCCCCCCCCATATAATGTTCAGCAAAAAAGGTTTTTTTAGACGAATTGGACAAAATTATTTTTTTCATTTCCGACCGGCACTTCGGGCGATTGCCCAATCCCCCCCTGGTTGGAGAGAGAGAGAGAGAGAAATAGGGTTTAACGTCCACTAGGTCATTTCGGCACTAACATATGGTTTAATTTTATTTCAATAATTCGCTTGCACATAGGGGTCTTTAGCAGTGGGAGGAAAGCGGAGGACCCCGAGAAAACCCACGAGGTTGGACAGGCAACCCTACTCTTTGTCACGTACAACCGGGGATTCGAAACCACGCCAGTTGACTCAATGACAGACCGTATAATACAGCACGCACGTTCTTACCATTCGGCCCCCCCCCCCCCTCATTCATCTATGAGTGGTATTTTGATTTTGTTTTCTTAGGCAACCTCTACACAGGCCGATATAAATGGGATATGGCCATCAAAGCCAGGGTCATCCATAATAAAAGTAGTAACTATCTGACGTCGAACTAGATTAATTAACGAATGAACCTAATCAGATTTGAAACAGGCCCATCAATTTTGTTCACGATAAATAAAAATGATGACGTCGAGTTACTCTATTATGTTAATATGTTGTATTTTTAGAACAATCGTCCGTGGTTGGCGGTCAATACAAAGGAATCAGCGGTCTTATATTATATGGAAATGTTGAAGATTTTATGTTTGTGCAAATGTAATAGTCCCTATTCTGAATTGTGTTAATAATATCTTGTATTTTGAGAACAATCGGGGGTCGTCGGTGACCGCCCCCCCCCACCCCCCGCTCTTTGTCAACGCGATAGAAGCTTGTTTATGATAAGACGAGGATCCATATTTCTTTTCCTCAAAATCGAATTTATAGAGTTATGCCCCTTTTAGAAAAAACCTATCAATGCTGCATTTGAGAATTTGACAAGATCAAATTTAAGAATTTGAGTAAAGACCTTGCCCTGGAATATTTCTATGATACTACTGAGTTGGATAAAATCTAAATTAACCTATTTAATCATGTGGATAGCTATCTGATTGAAATTAATTTGTTTTATATGACATATTTTGATCTACGCCACAAGAATTAACCGTTTGGACACGAGAGGCGGGGTGCAACGATGTAGTATCTTAATACAAGCGGTCTGTGTACGTCCAGATAACCACTGCTGGTACAACAAGGGGGAGTATTGCGCATTGGAGAAACCCAACACTTTTTATTGGCCACAATGCGAGCAACCTGTTCTCTAGCTGCGACCTTCATCCTTTACTTTCAGACTCATATACCGGCTGTCAGACGTTTAGGAACATGAATTTTTAGTCAAAAGCTTAAGAAACATTTTTTCAGACTTTATTTTGATTTCTTTTTTTAAGCACCATAATTACAGTTAACTAATAGAATCTATCCCAATACACATAATCAAGGATGACAATATCATTCCCAATATTCCCTTCAAGGATGACAATATCAATATACATTCCCAATATTCCCTTCAAGGCTGATAATACCAATACACATTAATATTCCCTTAAAAGGATGATACAATATACACTGCCTCCATTCACACCAATAACAGATATTATCCAATATATATGTCTATCAAATTGGTTTCCTAAAAAATAATCATGGTCAAGAACCCTTTAACATTGTCTTTTAATAACCTACCTTTGGCTTTGGATGAAAACATAATTTAGATTGAAATGTATCCAGATTTTTAATCCTTAATAAATTAATACTCCAACAATTAAAAGAGTAATATTAGCACCATTAATATAATACTGATTATCACAGTAGTTCCTGGTAGAATAATATTAAGAGTCAGGAGAATATAGGGTAGTATTAGCACCATTAATATAATACTGATTATCACAGTAGTTCCTGGTAGAATAATAGATTTAAACCACTCCTTTTCTTACAATTACAGGTTTCTCTCAGGGTTCCCGCGGCTTCGTCAAACATTTTTTCAAGGATATTCAAGGATAAATATACGTCAAATTCAAGGATTTTCAAGGACATTTTTTAGCCTAAAGTTACAATTTTTCATCTTAAAAATAACCGAAACATTACCAACTATTGTTATAATCTTATATTTAAAAGGAATTGAAGACATTTGAAACAAAATTAAGGATCTCAACTGAAATTCAAGGATATTTTCCTATTTCCGCGAAATTCAAGGATATTCAAGACCTTGAAAATGAAATTTTAAATTTAAGGATATTCAAGGATTTTCAAGGACCGCGGGAACCCTGTCTCTATGTCTGTCATCATTATAACACCAGTTCCTTTAATAATCCAAGTTTTCCTCTCAATTCTCCCCCGTTTTGATTTGCCATTTAGTAATTTTTTTCACCACTATTAAATATTTACAGTGATAATTACTGAGATTGATTTTAATCAAATGAAATAATAAAATCATCATTTCTTATACTTTCTATTTGATTTAATTTATGATAAGCTTTATAGTTGTGTATAATGCTATTTATACACACACACACAGTTACCTATGTATAGAATTCCTCTCCATACAATATACACGTACACTATAGAATATGCCTGCATACAATATACAGGTACACTATAGAATTCCACTCCATACAATATACAGGTACACTACTCTTTACATGTATAGAATTCCACTCCATACTAAGATTCCTCCCCTGGTAGTCAACTTGCTTCCTGTTTAACAATGACTGATATACAGACAACATCTAACAACTTTAACCCTATAACAGTATATCAGTACTTCTCTTCCTGCTCAATGTAAATCATCATCGAAACAAACTGTTAGATTTCATTTTTTTACTGAGAGGTTTTGGGGCAGACATCCAGGCAGGTAATTTACGTTTTGAGGATTGTGTAGATGAATCGAATGATTGTGATTTCTGTAAGGTGTGTGATCCCTGTAATATACAATACAATAGATATACACACAGCTATCACTAAAACAACTGTTGCCATGGTAGTCAGGGTTCTCCCACACGGCTATCACTATGACAACTGTAGCCACGGTAGTCACTCCTCACAGTGTTTTCTTACAGCTTCCATCAACCGTACTCAGAGAAGAGATTTGATTGGACAAGATAGGGTTTAATGGTCACTCAACATAAACTAGGTCATTTCGGGACTAACAAATGGTTCAATTTTATTTCAATAAGTCTCTTGCGCGTAGGGGTCTTTAGCAGTGGGAGGAAACCGGAGGACCGGGTGAAAACCCACGAGGTTGGACAGGCGACCCTACTCCTTGTCACGTACAACCAGGGAATCGAAACCCCTTCAGTTGACTCAATGACAAACCGTATGATACAGCGCGCGCATGCTAACCATTCGCCCATCCACCCCCCCCCCATCAAAACAAGAGACCTCGACTATAGCGCCATTGTAGTCAGTCCAGCACAGACTGATGATAACGCTCGTTTGTCAAGTGCGGTGGTTTCGAATCCCCGGTTGTACGTGACAAGGAGTAGGGTCGCCTGTCCAACCTCGTGGGTTTTCTCCGGTTTCCTCCCACTGCTAAAGACCCCTATGCGCAAGCGAATTATTGAAATAAAATTAAAACCATATGTTAGTCCCGAAATGACCTGGTTTGTGTCGAGTGGACGTTAAACCCCATTTCTCTCTCTCTCTTTGTCAAGTGTGTAGTTAGTCAGATGGGACAAAAATTAAAATATTATAGGATCAGTAGTTTTATTTATAAAGATGGCCACATATTTTTTGTAAATACAGAGCGTAAAAGAACCGTTTTTGGACTGACATTCCTCTCAGAGATTCAACTTTGACATAGTTTGTATGAGATTAACACTCCCTCAATTAATGATCAGCCATTTTTATAGAATATAACCAACCTCAAATTCACTTTGACTTGATTCACCTTTAACAGCATCAATGGTAACAACACTCTGTCTATCTGATGTAGGAGGACTAGTCAGGGCAGGACATAGAGTTAAGTCCCCTGAATCGTTGACAAACTGTCCATATTGTTTGGTCATGTGAGATATAACAACCTTTATATGGTTATATTGTATATGGTCGGGTAAAACGTCTTTTATTTTAGAAATACTGGATATCACTGAAAATATACAAAATACTGGATTTCACTGAAAATATACAAAAACTGGATTTCACTGAAAATATACAAATACTGGATATCACTGAAAATACACAAATAGTGGATTTCACTGAAAATACACAAATACAGGATATCACTGAAAATACACAAATACTGGATAACATTGAAAATAAGCAAATACTGGATATCACTGAAAATACTGGATATCACTGAAAATATACAAAATATTGGATAACACTGAAAATATACAAAATACTGGATAACATTGAAAATATACAAAATACTGGATAACATTGTAAATAAACAAATACGGGATATCACTGAAAATACACAAATACAGGATATCACTGAAGATACACAAAATAAATTCTTGAAATAAAATTGAACCATGTTATTCCCAAAATGACCTAGCTTGTGTCGAGTGGTTTAGGGTATTACAATGAATTTCAAAAAGTCAGATGTTCCAAGACAATATTCCTGCTCATTTAGGTAGTACCTTAGTATTTTTCGACTCTCTCTCTCTCTCTCCCCCCACCCTCTCTCCCATCTCTAGCTCTCCCCCCTTTCTTCTTTCTCTCCATCTCTCCCATAATATAGATAATACATCATCATTTTAGTCTATCATGTGAGCAACTGGAATTTTAGGGGTTGTTAAACAATGATAGCCAATATATTGACAGAAACACAAATAAACAAATCCTCGGTCAAAAGGGTGTATCTCGGGAAATTAATCAAATACATTTTTTTGCATTTTTAAAATTTCCCAATTATTTCTGTCTAAGCTGTGACGTATCTGTACGCCAATTAGAACTGTTCTGGGTATCATGTGTCCAAATGTTGTATCTTGATATGTGGAAGTTTTGAAATACAAAAGGTTCTATTTCTTAATCTTTAGAAATTCTTAGATACACCCTTTTGACAATTCACCGACGAAATGCCGTTTAGAATGCAAGTGGTGTGATATATATGAATATTTACCAGAATTTATAGGTGGTTCTCGTATAGTTTTAGTAACGAGTTGGAGTATACTCGATGTAACACCTAGTTTATCTATTTCTACAGGTAAACCAATCTTTAAACAATCACTCAGGTGAGATATTATGGTTGATGTTTTAAAACCTCTTAATGATGCAATCTCTTCCTGAAAATATAAACAAAAACATTATTATTCATCATTTTCATAACTTAAACCTACATTATGCAAGAGCTAAATCTGCCTACTGCAGGTCTTTCATTAGGCCTGAAATCTTATTTAAATTATCAATTAGACATTAATTAACCTATCCAGGCCATAATCAACTCTCGATGCCATCGTTAGCCTGTGATGTTTATTGGATTAGGTTCCGATTTGCTGTTTGACTTCCATTCATGATTTAATCATGAAATGGATAATCGAGACTATGTTTATTATTGTACCGACTTTAGTAATGATGATCGCGGCTAGGCTGAAAATTCAATCACAGCTAGGCTGAAAATTCAATCGTTAAAATCTCAGTTCAGAGTGAATCAATTTGATTAAAATTTTCAGCAAATGCCCTTTACATTATGTAGTTTTTAACTATTATAGTGAGAACTACCAGCTCCTTATCTAATCTCCTATAATGTATCTTTAATAATTAGTGATATATTACAAACAGAAATATTATCATTTGGTCATTTTCATAACTCAACAAACAGTAACAATCTCTTGATGAAAATATATTAACAACAAAATGAAATGTGTTTTAATGTCGTAATTTTCTTGGTCAAGTTCGTTGAGAGGGAAATTTTGTCCCTGACAGGGGCATTTATACACTTCTTCGAATTCCAATTGTCAATGGTTCTTTCACGTGCACAACAATGAGTCACAAATGGTCCTTACTTTTTTGTCCCACCCAAATGACTAGTCATGGTTAAATCAGAATGAAACATCCAAAGAAACTTCCTTGACCTACATCAGGAATCAACCCGCCCAGGAGAGAGAGAAATGAAATGAAATGGGGTTTAACGTCCTACTGTGCTGCTCCTAACCTGGGCTAATGTGCTGCTCCTAACCTGGGCTAATGTGCTGCTCCTAACCTGGGCTAATGAAGACGGGCATATGCCATACAGTGTGCTATGAGGGAAATTTTGCCCGGGCAGCGGCGCTAAGGCCTACTCTTATATCAAATTCCAACTGCCAAGAGATCTTTTACGTGCACGCCAATGTATACACGGGACCTCGGTTTTTCGTGCCATCCAAACAACTAGACAGCTGTCCTTGTCAGGCCCTCCATCCTGCATCACTGACAAGGGGAAACCACGCCGGAAAATCTGAATGAACTTTCTCGGCTAATGCAGGGATGGAACACCCAACCTCCAGGCTAGTGAGCCAGCGTCTTACCTACTTGATCCCCAGAGAGAGAGAGAGAGAGAGATTGTGTATACATATGTTTGATATCAGGATATTATCTTTACAAATACTCACCACAGATTTGTGATGTTGATGAAACATCATAAAAGAATTTCTCTGTGTTTCTGTTAATTCACCAAGTTTAGACTGTAACTGACTTTCATTCTATGTAAATATCAAACAGAGATTTATAAAATCACATTTATACAGATAGAAAATAAAATGAAAGGCAATGGGGTTTAACCTCCTACTGTCACGTGTAAGCTGATACCGTTGACTAATGAAACTAGGCCTTTTAGTAATGACAATTTTTGTCATTAAATCATATAAGTGGTCAGTATTCTAAACCTGTTTAGTATGTATAGAAAGTGGTTAGAAACTATACAGTTGTCATTAATTAGCAAGTGTGTAACTAGCTGTAAAAAAGTAACTATTTATAACAACCATCACTATTAAATACACAAACCTGGACAATAGTGGTGTATATCATTCAATAGTCACAGTTTTAACACCTTAGTCACAAAACACCTACTTAATGACTACTGCCTGATTACTAACAATTTTAACTAACTAATACACATTATGTATATAAACCGACGACTTTGATCTATTAGTGTCATATATTTTCATTTATAACAGTTATTTGTTGCTTAGTCTACGATATCAACGTTACAGTGTCTCTTGCTGGCACTGAGCTAATAAAGACGGGCATACACTATAAAATGTGCTATGAGGGAAATTTCATGTAAATCTATGAGAACTTTAGCTGCTAATATGAATCTGAAAATCTGAATTGTCAAACTTCGATGTTACCATGAGTAAGATTAGCATATTAATATTGATCTTCTCCGTTGACTTCACGGAGAAGAATATATTTCAGTAGCCATGAAAGAAAGTGGAGCGTTCTATCTATTCTAGTAGAAATATTAAGCAAACTCCCAAATCTGTTGTTAGGAGGTAAGGGAAATAACTCTCATATTACAAAACAACAAACCATGATGAAATACTTACTAATCCTGAATCGGAGCACAATTTAATCTGGAATAAACAGATCATAAATTAATATCTTCCAAGCAACACAATAATCAAGAGAAAATTGAATATCATTTAAATGTATGATAAAGATACATTAGTTAAGATTTTGATAAAAAGTTGGTCATATACTTGCTATAATAATTCAAAAATAGATAATGAAAAAAGAAAATATTGAAAATTTCATTCAAATTACTTCATTCTCAGACAAGTTATCATTGTTTGCAGTTTCGACAAGATATGTGCACAGTGGTAACCACGGCACTGGTATAATCGGGACTTAACCTCGCTTTCCCATTTTTAAATTAAATTTTTAAATGGTGAACCATTTTAATCTAGTTAAAATCTCGAGTATTCGATGCCATTGAGAGTCGATTATGGTCTTGTTTTGTTAATAAATGTCTAATTAATAGTTTATATAACATTTCAGGCCTAAAGAAAGACCTCCAATAGGCAGATTTAGCTCTTGCATAATGTATATTAATAAAAACTCTGAATGTAAGTTTATTATTTGTGTTAGCTGGTAGATTTAGGTACACTAGTCTGGGGGCTCATTGCGTGCGTGCGTGCGTCGGGGCGTGGGAGGAAAATGGGAAGAAAACCAAACCCAATTTGTTGTCTGAAAGATAATTGAATAGTTTCATGGTTGGACTGGGGGCCGCGTCACAAAGCCTGCCAAACTTTTCCCCAGTAACATTTACCAATACAGCATATATATCCCGCGAGCTACGTATTATGTACAATGCATCCATCAGTTTTATTTGTTTCCATGTTCCAGCGAAATTTATGAAAACTTTTAATCACGTCGTCAGATACGTGATTTCCGGTCACAGATTAACGACGGTATTCCCACATTGTGATTCCCGGAAATTCACGTGGCCTGTAGGCTGGAGTCCAACCATGTATAACAATCGTTGTTAAACTAGATCGGGGAGCTTTCGATTTGACAGTTTTTACGTATTTTTTAAACAGGTTCCAAAGTGTTTTGGTTCTGTTATGCAAGATCTTTATCGACGTTACAAAGATGATGTGAGAGATTGGCGTGAGGTGCACGGAACTGTGGTTAACCCATTAGAAACATCAACACTGATTGGTTAATCAAATGGCTGACGCCATAGGGTCAAAAGCCATTCGAATGACCCCCGACACAAACGGTCAGATCTTCATGTAGTAGAGAGAGAAAAATGGGGTTTAACATCCACTCGACACAAACTAGGTCATTTCGGGACTAACATATGGTTTAATTTTATTTACATAATTCGCTTGCGCGTAGGGGTCTTTAGCAGTGTGAGGAAACCTGAGGACGCGGAGAAAACCCACGAGGTTGGACAGGCGACCCTACTCCTTGTCACGTACAACCGGGGATTCGAAACCACGCCAGTTGACTCAATGACAGACTTTATGATACCGCGCGTCCACGCTAACCATTCAGCCATCCAACCCCCCCTTCATGTAGTAGAGGCCAACGACATATAGATGTTTATTTTAATCATATTGTGTAATGTTGAGATAAATGTGAAGATTATAAACAGTCATCTTGAGTAATAATGACAAAATAAAAACACAAAAACCTCCATCAGGTATCTTCGAGAGAGGAAGAGAGAATGGGATTTAACGTCCACTCGACACAAACTAGGTCATTTTGGGACTAACATATGGTTCAATTTTATTTCAATAAAAACACAAAAACCTCCATCAGGTATCTTCGAGAGAGGAAGAGAGAATGGGATTTAACGTCCACTCGACACAAACTAGGTCATTTTGGGACTAACATATGGTTCAATTTTATTTCAATAATTTGCTTGCACGTAGGAGTCTTTAGCTGTGGGAGGAAACCCATGAGATAGGACAGGCGACCCTACTCCTTGCAATGTACAACCGGGGAATCAAAACCACGGCAGCTGACTGAATGACAGACCTTGATATACAACGCACACATGCTAACAATACGGCCATTCAACCTCAATCATATACCTTCGACAATCATACTTTCAAAAACATGAGATGAATTTGGTGATCCTTTGACAAAATAAAAACACAAAAGCAAGGACCTCCATCCTACAACAGATTTTTTTATATGGCCTTAAAATTATTTTAAGTCTACTCACCTTATCAAGACTCACATCAGGAAATTCATCCATCTTTAATTCATGTTCCTCACAAAAACTTGACAACAATTTCAAAAATGTTTCTCCAAATTTCTTTACTTTAGCTTCTGGGAAATCTTCTATTCGTAACAGACTAGCTTTATTACTTGGCCTGAAATTAATCATAGCAAAGGGAAATTAATATTTCATATTGTGTATCTGAAATAGAATAGGACCTCCAGTTACAAGAAGCTGAAGCATAATCAATCCTGATAAATGTACCTAACATATCATAAATGATACTGGATAATCATACATTCCTATCAACAACATGAGATAAATGATACTGGATAATCATATATTCCTATAAACAATATGAGATACTGGATAATCATACATTCATATAAACAACATGATGAGATAAATGTGATATGAGAATTCATTTAGTCCAGTAATGATCCTTCAACAAAATATAAACCTTATAATGGGATGTTTAGCTCAGTAATGATCCTTCAACAAAATAAAAACCTGGCTCCCACATCCGATTGTGTGAGAATATTGTTTTTTATATGATTTATTTGTTGTTTTACCTGATTCTAGCAAAGTCTATCAGAACTTTATTACTAGCAATATTATGTGGGGTGAAACCAGTCTCCTGGGAGATTTCATTTCTTTCTTTTATCAACTTCAGATATAAATCATTCTAAAATACAAATAATCACATTATAAATATATTATCAGGAAAAAACTAGCTCTATTCATCGATACAGAATTATAAGTTAGGTTGCCAGGCAACGAAACGTACAACCCCAGCAGCTAAGTCGTCTGGACTGTCAACAAGTGCATATAAAATTAAAGTCAATCGGATGTGAACTGTAGCCTCTAGAGTGTCCACAAGATATTTCAAAGCGATCAAGGGCCACAACTCTGTCAGTAATTATCGGAAATCGCTGAAAATCAAAAGGCTTCTTCATCTCATGACCTTAAAGGACAATATTGGTGTCAGTCACAATACACTTCTCTTCTTGCTATTGTGATGTTGTTACCGCAATCTGATTAAAATACAGATCTATATTTCGTTTCGTTATTTTTTATACTTTCGATGGCCTACACTACATGTAGATCTGACAAGTTATAGCAATAGGTCACGTCAGGGGTCAAAAGACCAACTTATGACCCTATGATGTCAGACATTTGATTAACCAATCAGCATTGATGTTACTAGTGGATTACCCACAGTTACGTGCAAAACACGCCTAAAGCTTGCCGTTTCATTGGCTTATGCCTGACACCATTCAGAACACGAGTTAAATAACAACTCTTCCAGATCCAAGTGTAGTAAAGACAAGTAAAACAAAATTTTGAGCTATAAAAACGAAACGAAATAGGATCTCTGTTTTAACCAGATTGTTGTTACCATGAGGTAAGCCTATTTCATTGCGACTGCAATGAATTGTTGATGACTGTATCTTGGAGAAACCTTGCCGGAAACCATGTGATTATTCTAGATGCTACATAGTACAAACAAACAGTATCTTATAACTGTATACAGAGTTTACGATCAAGGGACAGTCTAAAGTGACCGAGACATTTGCAAGGGTTGTTGATGATTATTGTGAGGAATGATGACTATAGGGGAATAATTATAGGCATGGTTTTTGCCATGCCATTTTTCTTTTCTAAAAAGGTACAGACCCTAAATACAAGGACTTGAGGGGGAGAGAAAAATATATATAAACATATCTTGTCAAAATATATACGGCAAGTCAATTTGGGGCAATAATTAAAGTGTTATTTGATAAATTCAGGCATTATGTATTAAGACAAAATGTTGGCCAAAGTTTTGGCTTCAACATGGACATTGAATAAGCTAAACCAGCGGCTGCCAGGCAGAATACGCCCACATTTTCGAGAGATGGATAGAGAACAAGCTAAAAAGAAAGTGATTTTTCCTACAATCAAGGGCCATAATTCAGGAAATTACAATTCGATATGCGCAAATATCGAAAGGAACCGAAATCTTTGGGTTATAAACTTACATTTCAAGTTTCAACAAAATCAGATAAAAAGTGTGACCTCTATAGGGTCTACAACCTTGATATACCATGTTTTTACGCTATTTGAGAACGAAGGGCGGCCATTTTGTCTGTCAATTTTGGGCTGAATTTCACGAAATTCGAACTCAGCCGTCCCTAGGGTGTAACGGGGATATAATAATATAGGTTTTTTTTAAATTGGGTAAAAATTATGACTTCTATAGGGTCCACAAGCTAAAAACGCGATTTTTCGTACAATCAGGGGGCATAATTCAGGAAGTTATGGTCCGATACGCGCGAATGTCGAGAGGAACTGAGATCTTTGTGTTATAAACTTACATTTCAAGTTTCAACAAAATCGGATTAAAATTGTGACCTCTATAGGGTCCACAACTTGATATACCATATTTTTACGCTATTTGAGAACGAAGGGCGGCCATTTTGTCTGTCATTGGGGTGTAACGGTGATATAATAATACGTTTTTTTAAATCGGATAAAAATTATGACCTCTATAGGGTCCACAAACCAAAAAACGCAATTTTTTCGTACAATCAGGGGCCATAATTCAGGAAGTTACGGTACAATATGCGCGAATATCGAAAGGAACCGAGATCTTAGGGTTATAAACTTACATTTCAAGTTTCAACAAAATCGGATAAAAATTGTGACCTCTGTAGGGTCCACAACCTTTACATACCATATTTTTACGCTATTTGAGAACGAACGGCGGCCATTTTCACGAAATTCGAACTCAGCCATCCTTACGGTGTAACGGTGATATAATAATACGTTTTTTTAAATCGGATAAAAATCGATTTTTCGTACAATCAGGGGCCATAACTCAGGAAGTTACGGTCCGATGTGCGCGAATATCGAAAGGAACCGAGATCTTTGGATTATCAACTTAGATTTCAAGTTTCAACAAAATCGGATAAAAATTGTGACCTCTATAGTGTCCACAAGCTAAAAACGTGATTTTTCGTACAAACAGGGGCCATAATCCATGAAGTTTCAATCCAATACATGCCAATATCGAAAGGAACCGAGATCTTTTGGAGATAAACCTATATTTCAAGTTTCGTCAAAATCGGATAAGAATTGTGACCTGTAGAGTCTCCACAAACAAATTGTGGACGGACGGACGTCCGGACGGACAGGGGCATCGACAATATACGTCCACATGAAAATGTGGGCGTATAAAAATTGTGACCACTATAGGGTCCACAACCTTGATATACCATATTTTTACGCTATTTGAGAACGAACGGCGGCCATTTTGTCTGTCAGTTTTGGGCTGATTTCCACGAAATTCGAACTAAACCATCATTAGGGTTTAATGGTGATATAATAAAACGTTTTTTTATATCGGATAAAAATTATGACCACTATATGGTCCACAAGCTAAAAACGCGATTTGTCAAACAATAAGGGGCCATAATTCATGAAGTTACGGTCCGATGTGCGCGAATATCGAAAGGAACCGAGATCTTTGTGTTATAAATTTAAAGTTTCAACAAAATCAGATAAAAATTGTGACCTCTATAGGGTCCACAACCTTGATATACCATATTTTTACGCTATTTGAGAACGAAGGGCGGCCATTTTATCTGTCAGTTTTGGGTCGATTTTCACGAAATTCGAACTCAGCCGTCCCTAGGGTGTAACGGTGATATATTAACAAGGTTTTTTAAATCGGATAAAAATTATGACCTCTATAAGGTCCACAAGCCAAAAAACGCGTTTTTGCGTACAATCAGGGGCCATAATTCATGAAGTTACGGTCCGATATGTGCGAATATTGAAAGGAACCGAGATCTTTGTGTTATAAACTTACATTTCAAGTTTCAACAAAATCGGATAAAAATTGTGAACTCTATAGTGTCCACAACCTTGATATACCATATTTTTACGCTATTTGAGAACGAACGGCTGCCGTTTTGTCTGTCAGTTTTGGGCCGATTTTCATGAAATTCGAACTCGACCATCCTTAGGGTTTAACGGTGATAAAATAATACGGTTTTTCAAATCGGATAAAAATTATGACCTCTATAGGGTCCACAAGCCAAAAAACGCGTTTTTACGTACAATCAGGGGCCATAATTCAGGAAGTTACGGTCCGATATGCGCGAATATCGAAAGGAACCGAGATCTTTGGGTTATAAACTTACATTTCAAGTTTCAACAAAATCGGATAAAAATTGTGACCTCTATAGGGTCCACAACCTTGATATACCAGTGTTCACAAGCCAAAAACGTGATTTTTTGTGCAATCAGGGGCCATAATCCATGAAGTTACGGTCCGATAGATGCCAATATTGAAAGGAACCGAGATCTTAGGGTGATAAACCTATATTTCAAGTTTCATTGAAATCGGATAAAAATTGTGACCTGTAGACTGTTCACAAACAATTGTGGACGGACGGACGGACAGGGGCGACGACAATATACGTCCACATAAAAATGTGGGCGTATAAAAAGCGACTTTCATACAATCAGGGCCCAGAGTCCATAATGCAGAATGTTAGTCCGACATGCATCAATATCGAAAGGAACTAAGATCATTGGGATATCAACCTATATTTAAAGTTTCGTCAAAGCCAGATAAAATTTGTGACCTTTATAGAGTGTCCACAAATTAAATGTGAATGGACGTCCAGACAGGGGCGACAACAATATACATCCACATGAAAATGTGGGCGCATAAAAATAACAGAAATGTTTTTATCATTGTCATGGTATTTCAACATTCATACCTGTAGTTTCATAGTTCTTTCATCAACAGCAGGTACAACAGGAGCTGGTGTTGCCTTGACAACAGATGATGTAGCAACAGTTGCCGTAGTAACAGACTGGCTCGTCCAGTCATCCTTCTTTATAGCTGTTGATATTGTTGGACTGTAAAACATTTTACAACATTTTGAAACTAATAAGATGAATATTAGAGGTGAGGAATCCATTAATATTTGAGAGGCATAACCAAGGAATTTGACATTTTGTTTAATCCAGCATAATTCGGACAACAGATTTAAATGAAATGAAATGAGGTGTAAAGTCCGACTCCGACTGGGCTAATGAAGATAGGCTTATAAGAGAGAAGTTTGCCATGAGAGAAATTCTGTGCCGACAGCTGCGTTACAGCCTACTCTTATATCGAATTCCAACTGCCAAGGGATCTTTTACGTGTACACCATGTGTTCATCTCCTCTTGTTTAAAAAGTACAAATTAATGATTTATGGTGATTTTAAACAGTTTTTATGAATTTTTAAACAAAGATTGGATATTAAACTGGACAGAAGTACAAATTAGATGATTTTGGGTGATTATAGATGATTTGTATGAATTTTTAAACAAAGATTTGATATTAAATGAATGTGAAAGAAATTATTGCTAGATACACAAGATTAAATGATACCCAGGTTACAGTGTATTTACTCACTGATCCACCGTGGCTCTCTAAACCACTCACAATAACATGATGATGATGATGATGATGATGATGGAATCTGCAAACTGGGCTTATCAAGATGAGCTTACGATTTTGCCTGGACAGCAGATGAATTCCAACTGCCAACGCATGCATGGGACCTCAGTTTTTCGTCCCATCTGAATAGTGAATAACTAGACACTGTTTTGGGTACGAATTAATTTCTTCTACAGATTAACTTCTTGCTATACGTGGGTATGACAATCAGAGTGGGAGATGGGGTTCAACTTCTTGCTATACGTGGCTATCACAACTGATCATGAGAGATGGGGTTCAACTTTATATCAATAATTTGTAGGGCGTCTTCAGCAGAGGGTGGAAAATGGAGGACCAAGAAAAAACCTACTCCTCATGTGCAAGCTGGGAAACAAAATTAATCCACTTGACTCAATGTGATCAAACACGCACAAGTTGATCATTCGGCCACCCGCCCTCGTACATATTAAACACAAGTTCACCATTTGGCCACCCAGCCCTCGTACATATTAAACAAAAGTTGACCATTTGGCCACCCAGCCCTCGTACATATTAAACACAAGTTGACCATTTGGCCACCCAGCCCTCGTACATATTAAACACAAGTTGACCATTCGGCCACCCGCCCTCGTACATATTAAACACAAGTTGACCATTTGGCCACCCAGCCCTCGTACATATTAAACACAAGTTGACCATTTGGCCACCCAGCCCTCGTACATATTAAACACAAGTTGACCATTTGGCCACCCAGCCCTCGTACATATTAAACACAAGTTGACCATTTGGCCACCCAGCCCTCGTACATATTAAACACAAGTTGACCATTTGGCCACCCAGCCCTCGTACATATTAAACACAAGTTGACCATTTGGCCACCCAGCCCTCGTACATATTAAACACAATTTAAATCTTACTTTAATGAAACAGATATAACTGGTTTACAGACAGAAGTTTTATCTTTCTCTTCCGCTAATAAATCACGATTAGGTTGAATTTTTAACGCTGATTTCGTGCTTGATTTCAACCAATCATAGGCCTTGTTAGACATCTCTAGGGTAAAACCAAAACCACCTTCAATAGCCTTCTCCTTTAGATAACCCTCACATAATAAACACTTTCCTATAGAGAGAGAAACTAGGTCATTTTGGGACTAACACAGGGTTCAATTTTTATTTCAATAATGTGCATGCGCGTAGGGATCTTTAGCAATGGTAGGAAACCGGAGGACCCGGAGAAAACCCCCAAGGCTGGAAAGCCGACCCTACTCTTTGTCACATACAACCGGGGAATAGAAACCACACCAGTTGACTCAATCACAGACTTTATGATACAGCGCGCACATGCTAACCATTCGGCCCTCCCCCAACCCCTTAGCAAGAGAAGGCTGGGCTTTAACAATAATGAAAGTCCTTCTCAGCTCTAATCAAGATTCAATTAGTTAAATATGAAACTACTGCTATTAGATGTGAAAACGTGTAACATACCAAAAGCTTTCCACCATTTTAAACTTCTATACCTTGAAAACAAACATAAAACAACATGGTATTATTCATACCAGCTGATGACAATCTGATTAAACACAGATCCTAGTTCGTTTTGTTTTTATAGTTCAAAATTTCATTTTATCTTTACTACACTAGGATCTGGAAGACTTGTTATATAACCCGCGATCTGGGTGATGTGAGGGATTAGCCAATGAAACAGTCTGTTGATGCAAGTTCTTAACCCTGATTGGTTAATCAAATGTCTGATGTCATTATATAATCAAAAGCCGCTCGTATGACCTCTGACGCCATCTTGCACTACAACCAGTCACAGGACTAGAAATTCACACGAATCTCAGAATCTGATTCGCGCAAGGATTCACAAAAATCTCGGAGAATCGTCGAGTCCGACTATTGAATGTCGGTCAGTATCGACTGTATATTGTCTGCTTTAGCCGACTGACATTTAATCTAGCCGATTGGTAAAACCATGAATCCGTCACTATGGTATCATAAATCAATCTACTTTTGGCTAAATTACAACAGGTTAATTATTGCTTGTTAATAAAAAAAAAGTCAATCAATACAACTTGCTGGTCGGCTACAATAACAGTCATACCTCATATGGTTCTTAATCCGAGCAATTAGCACATTTAACAGTGATTTTGACAATCCGGTAAAAAAACAAAATACGCTTGCTGATAATTCATAAAAGGTTCAGTAAAATACTCCAAGTGGCAAATAAAGACGATCTCGGCATGGTTTGCGAATCGCACGTCTTCTAACTCCGTCCGTGTGAATTCCAGGTACAGGTAGATATTAAAATAATAACTGGATCATACATTGATGGATTCACTGACCACTTGTTAGGTAAATTTAAATCTTCATTGAATATAATCCCCTGGTAGAACACCGAATACACAGAAAGAGAAACAGTGGGGGGGGGGGGCGGGGGGAGGGGAGATGAAGGGAGGAAATGATGAATTTCTCTTACTTGAACTCAGGAAAAGACTAGTACTAATAAATGTCTTAGCATATTTTTTCCAAGAGTTAGTAGAAACTCTTCAGGTTTGTGAATCACGACAATAATCATCTTTGAGTGGCATTTAGCAATTGACATACGTAATAAACACAAAAACATGGAAAATATGGAAAACAATTACTATTTTAATTAAAGCGACCTTTCATTGAGGGTTCTCTCAATGTTTTCAAGCAAATCCTCATCGAAATGAAATGAAATGGGGTTTAACGTCCTACTGTTTTGCTCCGAACTGGGCTAATGAAGACGGGCATACGCCATACAGTGTACTATGAGGGAAATTTTGCCCGGACAGCGGCACTACGGCCTACTCTTATATCGAATTCCAACTGTCAAGGGATCTTTTACGTGCACGCCAATGTGTATACGGGACCTCGGTTTTTCATCTCATCCGAACGACTAGACAGCTGTCCTTGTCAGGCCCTCCTTCCTGCAACACTGACAAGGGGGAACCACGCCGGAAAATCTGGGTGAACTTTCTCGGCCAATGCAGGGATCGAACACCCTACCTCCAGGCTAGCGAGCCAGCGTCTTACCCACTTTGCCAAAATCCTCAACGAAACATCGCTTTAATTAATATAGTAATTGTGTTGTATATTTATGACGGTAATGTTAATATATCATCTTACTTTCCCTTGCCAAATCCGGTATGATTATAGAATTTACCAACTTTCTGATTTTGTGAACCACAGAGAAACTGTACGTAGGTAGTTAGACCAAACTTGGGATACAGGGTCTGTAATATAACAACGTAATCATATATACATCTTCTGGGAGCTACGGTAGCTCAGTAAGTAGGACGTTGGTTTGCTAACCTGGAGGTTCGTGTTTCATCCTACTGTTCTGCTCTAACTGACCTAATAAAGACGGGCATATCCCATACAGTGTGCTGTGAGCGAAATTTTGCCTGGACAGCGGCATCACACCCTCCTGTTTTTTTGGACTTCCAATTGTCAAGGGTTCTTTTACGTGTGAACTGGCTGTCCCAGGCGCTCCATCAAGCACCACCTACACAGGAAAACTACACAGAGAAACTTTCTCGGCCACACTAGGAACGAACCCACGACCGCCAGGTTGGCAAACCAGACTCTTCCACTATTGCTCCAGAGATTTTAGAAAGTATACCCATCAAAAGTTTATTTGTCAACAAAATGAACGTGATAAAAATATGCCAAATTTTGAATTTCAAAACATCAATTTTGTTGACGATCCTAATGAAAAGCTAAATTCCTCCCGAAATTTTTATATTGTTTTACAACCTGATAAATTTAAGAACATAACGTATCTGGATAGCGTTATTACCTGAATAGCGTTATATTACCTGAATAGCGTTATTATCTGGTTAGCATGAATACAATGGATATCGTTATTACCCGAATAGCGTTATTACCCTAATAACGTTATTACCTGGATAGTGTTATTACGTACCTGGATAGCGTTAAAAAGATGTGCTGCCTCTTTACTATAATCAACCGGTTCATCAGTCGATATTTGTTTACCAGACCAGTTGTTATAACGACTCTGTTTAATCCTGTCAAAGAATAAACCATATCCATATACAACTATTAGACTAACATATAGAAAACAAAAACAAAATATCAACAGTGGATGATCTCCTTCAATAGCAGGCTTGATCCCGTATTAACTACGTACCTCTTATCAAGGCCTTCACGTAATACCCTACATATTTCAGCACTAATTTCGATTGGGTACAAGCCCAACGTGTGAGCCTATCAGATTCCTCGATCGTTGCGAATACCAAGTCTAACGCTTTCAAGCTAAAATGTCTACCTGTGATAATCGAGTTGCAAAGTTCAAGGTTCATTCAATGTCAAGGCTTCCGTGGTGGTCGCGATGTCACAACCTCTGATTGGAGGCTACTGCTCACGTGTCTGTAGATAACATAGCTATAATAAGTTCAGGAATTGTGAAGTAAACAAGCAACAGCCAGATGTTGTAAAACTCGCAGTCGTTGCTTCAGAAACATGGGATTCAATCAGGTTAAAAAGTGGTTGTAGTGGGAGGTTGTGGTATAATCAGATTGTACGAAGGATTAAAAATCCCTGAATTAACGATCACAGACTGGTATTAAACAGGGTACAGCTATTTTGCTTACTTACTTGTTTTTACAATTATCACAGCAGTTTTCGGTACCACCGATATCTTCTAACTTCTTACCTTCAAAATGAGCCAACAATATTCTGAAGATAAATAAAACATAACAGCAATATCTTCTTTGACTGGCTTTTATTAAGCGACATTTTGACGAGGATACTCTTGTCTTGATAAAGTCGAGAGTATGTCGAAACATTGTTTAGTATTAAACTCAGTAATTGTAATCTTTCGCCGTAGGTGCTCCGAAGTTATGGAATTCAATATCAAACGAAACCAAAAGCGCAAATTCTATTTAAAGTTTTAAAAAAGTATCACAAAACCCGACTTTTCAATCAAATATACAACTGATTGAATACGGTTCTGGCTGTGTTTGTGTCAGACTTTTACCATGTGTACTATATAATGTTCTCCGTTTTTTGTTTATGTCTTTTATTTTATGGATTAATATGTTGTGATTGTTGCAATTTTATATTAGTTGTACTTATGTAAAGCACCCAAGAGCAGCTCACCGAGTTGAATTGTTGGCGCTATATAAATCAATTATTATTATTATTATTATTATTAATCAGTAATCAGTTTAAAAAAAAAAAAATAAGTCTCTAAAAATTCTAAATAGTCTGAAAATATCTCAACAGACTTAGTCCTTAAATTCATATCTCAACGGGGACACCTCACATTCCCCACATCTATTGTTTAGAGTCTGGGTCCACCAGGCCATGACTAATTAATCAACAAAGGGGGTTTAAAGTATAGTCTGTAACAAATTTGTGGCACTTCAACAAAATGATTTAAATAATATTAGTGAAAAAGATTACATGTAAAAAAAATACATATAATATGGATTCTTATATTATACCATTTCCAGAATTTTAATAATATACAAATTAATACATATATAAATTCTGACCACCTTTAGTATTAGCAATGTATCCAAAGTTAACCAGAGCGTTCGCCATTTCGGAATTACCATTTGTGATTCAGAGGAGCTAAAAAGATCAACTGATAAGCTGTGATAAAATATCAGTAGTTTATTTATTTTTATTTCAAATTAATTATAACATCAAAACTGCTCAGAATGTAAATTTATTAGTAAACTGATTTCACCGATTTGCCCAATCTACTGATAGTGGGAATTGTTCACCAGTAACAATAATTTACACCAGTGATACTAATTAATTAGAACAGACTATAGTCCTACACACACAGTCTAGTAACCTCCTAATCCTTTATCAAAACAATCAAATGTGGGGAAAGTGAGGTTAAACCATCTCAACAGACTTAGTCCTTAAATCTCTAAATAGTTTCAAAATTTCTAAAAAAAAAAGGTCCTGTACATTTCCCAAGAAAAATAGTCTCTAAATTTCTAAATAAACACACTAGGTAAATTTAGTTTTCATGAATTAGTTGATCTGACAAAATTATTAATAGAGAACACAGTGCTAGCCGATTCCAACCTCATTAGCCCAGTTGGTGCAGAAAAGTAGGCCGTTAAAGGACATTTCATTTCAGTTACCAGATCACGAAATAGACAATATAAGCTACTCATCTGATCTGAATTCTCTAAAATGAATCACAAGAAAGGTTTCAATCCAGTATATTTTGAGTGACAAGGCATCTCTTGACCAATATTGACAATTGAGAGACACAGAGAAATGGGGTTTAACGTCCACTCAACACAAACTAGGTCATTTCGGGACTAACATACAGTTCAATTTTATTTCAATAATTAACTTGCGCATAGGGGTCTTTAGCAGTGGGAGAAAACCGGAGGACCCAGAGAAAAACCCACAAGGTTGGACAGGCAACCCCACTCCTTGTCACGTATAAGCGAAGAGTAGAAACCACGTCACTTGACTCAATAAAACTTAAAGTCACTGGTCCTGATGTCTTATAATAATCAATTAACACAGTAAGACATCATAAAATTATATTCAGATTCAATCAGAATAACATTTTATCCCAACACTTATAGACGGCCGCATTACAAAACAGTATATAAATTGTTGGATATGGCGGTTATTTAGCGCAGAGATCTAATCTCGAAGTAGAGTACATACTTCTCTGTGTGAAGAATGGTAATTTATCATATCTTTTTTTCGACTATTAATCCTTTTAGAATTGCAACTTCAACAATATGGCAGTTTGCAACGGATCCAAAATCCCACAATCAGCAAATTTAAATCATTTCAACATCATAAATATTTGACCCCAAGCCCATGTCTGGGTATGTTTGCCAACCCTGGGTTCAGGTCTGGGTATGTTTACTGACCCTGGGTTCAGGTGTGGGTATGTTTACTGACCCTGGGTTCAGGTCTAGGTATGTTTGCCAAGGCTCAGGTCTGGGTAAGTTTGTATGATTTTATTACTGACCTCCGTCTACAACCAGCTGTACCCAGATATTGCTGCATCTTCAACATCATTTCTGTTTTATGTTCCTGGAATTTCTTACTACTAATCTCATTTATAAAATGTCTAAAATATATAAACATTACCATCCTTACTACTGAGGACATTTATAAAATGTCTGCAATAAAAATATAAACATTATTGTCATTACTACTTAATTTTAAACTCTGTACTTTAAACACTACAGTTCCCTAGACTGTCACAAACAGTCAATTAACCCATTTTTGACGATTGCGAATCAACTCGCAGCCAGCGCTTGACGGTAGCGAATCAACTTGCGGACCCATCATACTTGGCAACGGCATTAGCGAAATAAAGCGCGAGATCAATCAACACATTTCTATTGTTTTTATTTCTGAAATTAAGAGAGAGAGAGAGAAATGAGGTTTAACGTCCACTCGACACAAACTAGGTCATTTCGGGACTAACATATGGTTTAACTTTATTTCAACAATTCGCTTGCGCGTAGGGGTCTTTAGCAGTGGGAGGAAACCGGAGGACCCGGAGAAAACCCACGAGGTTGGACAGGCGACCCTACTCCTTGTCACGTACAACCGGGGATTCGAAACCACGCCAGTCGACTCAATGACAGACTTTATGATACAGTGCGCGCACGCTAACCATTCAGCCATCCAACCCCCCTTCTGAAATTAATGGTGATGGAGTAATAAAAATAAAATACCTAATGAAAAGGAATGTTATATTCGCTAATTATCGAATAAAAAACGTACGTTTCAACAAAGGATCTTCCTGTATTTACGTAATAGGTCAGAGGTGAAAATTCACACTGTGTCAATGACTTTGGCATTATTCCAATATTTTCACGTCGTCACCTACTGCTAATAATTTTATGATATGGAAAGTGAAATGGAATCAGGTTTTTTATGATTTACTGCCAGGCATATCGTGGAATATGATAATGTCGAAGAAATCAACTATTTATTATTTTTTTAGACGTTATGAAGCGAAGAATACATGTACTCGAGTCGAAATCAAGCATGTCGCCGCCATCTTGAACACGCTTTCAAACAGACGATAACTTACGGCTAATAATTCTAGACTTTGGGAAGCTAAATTGAATCAAAACATTTTGGATTTAATACAAGCTACATAGAGGAATATTACATTGTCGAAGATTTCAACTATATATTTTTATTTTCGACGCAATGAAGCAAAGAATATTCCCGTCGTATATCCAAAGAATGGCAGTAATGTTAAATGCCGATAGCAATGAAGTGACCGTCATTTGGGGTGATATTTCTTTTTAAAAGTTATAATTATATTTACTTTGAACACTGCTATCAAAGCGGGGGACTATATTTGTGTTCTATTTAAAAAAAAAAATTCTTAGGGGATACTTATTCACATTATTTTACTGTTACATGACAGAAAGTCATAATTTTAGTGGAACTGACTTTTCAACATTATTTATAGTAATATAATTGCTACTTTGTACAATTGAATTTTATATCATTGGAAAGAACACGACAATCTGTGCATTTTTGTAACAGAGTATTTCTGTGTCTAGAAAATATTTTTTTTGTTATTTGCAATTTTGTAGAGGGTATTAGGATTAACAATAATCCACTGATTGGCTTAGGAATATGGGCCCTGCTGATTTAATGAGCTTAGGGGTAGGGTAGCTAATCTTTTAATTGGCTCAGGGTTAAATGGGTTAATACAGACCTAAATAATTCATAACAATTCAGACAGCTCCCTAGACTGTTGGAAACCACCTAGAATTAGTTTATGTTCACTCAACTGGCACAGTTTGAGATGGAGATGGGATTTTAAAATAATAATTCATACAACTGGTCAGTTTGAGGTGTTAGAGTGAGCGGTAGTTTAAGGGTTAATTTGAGATTGAGATAAGATTTACCTTGCTACATTAAAATCCCCATGTGAATAGAAGACTTGACAGGTACTTGGAAAACCATCTCGACCAGCTCTACCTATCTCCTGATAATACGATTCTATATCTTTTGGAGCTACAAAATACATAACTTGATTATTAAAAATACATTATACAAGAACTAAATCTGCCTATTGCAGGCCTTTCTTTAGGCCTGAAATGTTATCTAAATTATTAATTAGACATTAATTAACTTATCCAGACCATAATCAACTCTAGATGACATTGCTAGCCTGCGATATTTACTGGATTTGAATACATTTTTTTAAAAATAATTAAATATAAAAACGGGTAATTGACTTTAGTAATGATGATCGAGGTTAGCCTAAAATTCTAAAGCTAATATCTTGGTTCAGACTGGAGCAATTTGACTATTTTTTTTAACTATGATAGGGAGAACTGTAAACTCTTTATCTAATCTCCCATGATGCCCCTTTAACAATTAATTAAGAAAATCAAATCAAAATATCAACGTTAGATGATCTTCGGGTTTGGATTAAAATCATAGGTGGTGCAGACTTGTGTATCAACTGACTATATCTTGTGTATCATCTGACTACATCTTGTATTAACTGACTATATCTTGTGTATCATCTGACTACATCTTGTGTATCATCTGACTACATCTTGTATTAACTGACTATATCTTGTGTATCATCTGACTATATCTTGTGTATCATCTGACTATATCTTGTGTATCATCTGACTATATCTTGTGTATCATCTGACTATATCTTGTGTATCATCTGACTATATCTTGTGTATCAACTGACTATATCTTGTGTATCATCTGACTATATCAGACATATCAACTGCACTGGCTGCAGAATGTTGACAAATTTTTAATTCATCATATCTTTGTCAATACTGAATAGTTTTTGGTCTGATATTAGATCCTTTCACAATATTGTAGGTTTTACAAGGGATTCACAATCAAACTTTATTTCTCTTACCTCCATAATGTATAACTTTTCTAACATCTGGTTTATCTATACCCATACCAAACGCTACAGTAGCTACAACCACCTGTTATAAACCAAACAAAATCAAATGAAATGGGGTTTAACATCCTACTGTTTTTGCTCTGAACTGGGCTAATGAGGATGGGCATGCGCCATGCAGTGCGTTATGAGGGAAAATTTGCCAGGACAGCAGCGTTACAACCTACTCTTATATCGAATTCCAACAGCCAAGGGATAATTAACGTGCATGCCAATGTGTACACAGGATCTCGTTTTTTTGTCCCATCTGATCAACTATACATTGTAACTTGCCAGGCCTTGTGTTCTTCACCACTGACAAGGGGGAACCACGTCGGAAAATCCTGATGAACTTTGTCGGCCAACACAGGAATCAAACACGGGACCTCAAGGTTAGCGAGCCAACATTTTACTCACTCAGCCACTACGGTTCCTAGTTTAAACCAGCGGGTGCCAGGCAGGATACGCCCACATTTTCGAGAGATGGATAGAGAACAAGCTAAAGGATAGTGATTTTTCGTACAATCAGGGGCCATAATTCAGGAAGTTACGTTCAGATATGCGCGAATATCGAAAGGAACCGAGATCTTTGGGTTACAAACTTACATTTCAAGTTTCAACAAAATCGGATAAAAATTGTTACCTCTATAGGGTCCACAACCTTGATATACCATATTTTTAAGCGATTTGAGAACGAGGGGCGGCCATTTTGTCTGTCAGTTTTGGGCCGATTTTCACAAAATTCGAACTCAGCCGTCCTTAGGGTGTAACGGTGATATAATAATACATTTTTTTAAATCGGATAAAAATTATGACCTCTATAGGGTCCACAAGCTAAAAACGCGATTTTTCGTACAATCAGGGGCCGTAATTCAGGAAGTTACGGTCCGATATGCTTAAATATCGAAAGGAACCACGATCTTTGGGTTATAAACTTACATTTCAAGTTTCAACCAAATCAGATAAAAATTGTGACATCTATAGGGTCCACAACCTTGATATACCATATTTTTAAGCTATTTGAGAACGAGGGGCGGCCATTTTGTCTGTCAGTTTTGGGTAGATTTTCACGAATTTCGAACTCAGCCGTCCTTAGGGTGTAACGGTGATATAATAATACGTTTTTTTAAATCGGACAAAAATTACGACCTCTATAGGGTCCACAAGCTAAAAACACGATTTTTCGTACAATCAGGGGCCATAATTCTGGAAGTTACGGTCAGATATGCGTGAATATCGAAAGGAACCGTGATCTTTGGGTTATAATCATACATTTCAAGTTTAAACTAAATCGGATAAAAATTGTGACCTCTACAGTGTTCACAAGCTAAAAAAGTGATTTTTCGTACAATCAGGGGCCATAATCCATGAAGTTACAGTCCGATACATGCCGATATCAAAAGGAACCAAGATCTTAGGGTGATAAACCTATATTTTAAGTTTCATTGAAATCGGATAAAAATCGTGACCTGTAGACTGTTCACAAACAGTGTAATGTCCATACAACACAAACTAGGTCATTTCAGGACTTACAAAAGGTACCATTTTATTACAATGATTTGAATGCACATAGACATATTTAGCACCCCCCAGTCCTAGTTATTATATATTTACCTGTATCTGATCGTTAACAAATTGATGATGAGCATGTTTTCTAGCTTGTAATGACAGACCAGCGTGATATGGTAAACACGCTACTTTCATTGCTAAAATATAAAGATAGGTTGCCAGGCAACGAAACATATGCCCACAGCAGCTAAATCGTCCGAACAGTCAACAAGGGTTGTCACATATTTATTCCTTTGTAGATAATTGGGGGGCTTTACAAAACAGTTCCATACTAATCAGATTATACATATACTATTCAAAAAAAGTAGGGGATATTTGATTTTTAAGTGTTATTAAAGTCACCTAATGAAACTGACGAAGAAACAAATGACAAAATGAAATGAAGTTCACATTCATCGATTTATTCCAAATGATCGTTAGACTAAGTAAGGCACAGACTGACCATTATAAGGGTAAAATGATACCCGGGGTCAAACAGCAAAGTTACCACAGCATCACAACCAAGTCAGTAACGGGTAAATCCTCCTCTGTTTGCCAAACAAGCATTGATCCGACGTGGCATACTCCTAATGAGACGTCTAAGGTCATTTTGGTCCAGATTGTCCCATTCCTGTTGCAACGCAGCAGCAAGTTCTTGGACATTGGCAGGACGTTGTTGAGGTTGACGTAACCTCTGTCCAAGCATGTCCCAGACATGCTCGATGGGGGAGAGGTCGGGACTCAGTGCTGGCCAAGGTAATGTGGTGATGTTCTGTTGTTGGAGGTAACCTGTAACGATCCTGGCCCTGTGACATCTTGCGTTGTCATCCTGGAAGATGAAACGGCGGCCATGACGTCGTGCGAACGGCACAACATGGACTGCCAAGATGTTGTCCCGGTAGTACTGGCCTGTAACACGCCCTGCAACAACATGTAAAGCCGTTCTTCCAGCAACAGTGATGCCTCCCCACACCATAACAGAACCACCCCCAAATCGATCATGTCTGATGACGTTAACGTCTTGGAAGCGCTCGTTTCGACGACGCCACACCCTCCTACGTCTGTCCAAAAAATCAACAGTGAACCTTGACTCATCTGAAAACATCACATTGCTCCAGCGTCGATTATCCCAGTGTTGACGATCCCTACACCAACGACGTCTTGCCTGAATGTGATGATCTCTCAAACAAGGGATCCCGCGAGGACGTCGGGCGCGAAGGTGACCCCTATGCAGTCGATTCCGAATCGTCTGGCCACTCACTCTCACACCAGTGTCTGTTTGAAAACGAGCGCTGATCTGATTTGCTGTGATGACACGATTTCTCAAGGCCAAGGGACGGATAAATCAATCCTGGGCTTGAGTTGTCGCCCTTGGTCGACCTGAGCGTGGTCTGTCCTGTACAGATTGTGTATCACGGTATCTGGACCATAGCCTGCTTATGACAGACTGAGAAACATTCATCGTCAGCGCCACAACCGCCTGTGTTGTGCCGATCTGTAGCATGCCAAGGGCACGTAACCTTTCATTTTGGGTAAGCCGACGCATATCAAAATTTGTTTTCTGGTCACTAAAACAATTAAACTGATGTTTCCACCCTGGAATTCAATGCCACAATGACTGTAACATTCAAAGTCAGAGTCGTGCAAATCTTGGGTTGGACCCCCATGATGATCCCAAGCATCACCTGCATTCCATGCGGTAGCTATTGGTGCGTTTGGGCGTCACATGTAACTGGAAATGTTTCTTCTGTTAGGTTCTATAGTGACTTTTTTCGTAGTCATTTGCATATTTTAGTATTATGCCCCCAAAATCAAATATCCCCTACTTTTTTTGAATAGTATATTTATTCCTTTGTAGATAATTGGGGGGCTTTATAAAACAGTTCCATACTAATCAGATTATAATTTTTTTTTCGTTTGAGGGTTCACAAGGTTCTACAAACTGAAACAAGGGCCTCAACTCTGGAATAGTTTACAGGAATTGTTGAAATTTGACAGGCTTTTTTGTTTTACTAATTTATATAATGCATATAAATTTCATACAGATCAGATGATCACTTTTGTCATTCGAACGTTCACAAGTTTCACAAAGTAAAACAAGGGCTATGGCTCTAGAAATAATTGACGGAAATTGCTGAAATTCAATAGACCTGTGTTTCACAAATTTAAATGATAGATATAAATTTCATCGGTTGATAACTTCATCAATCGAGCATTAACAAGGTTGAACAAAGTGAAACAAGGGCCATAACTCTAGAAGTAATTATTCTAAATTGCTGAAATTCAATAGGATTCTTCTCTTTACTAATTTAAATGACGCATTTAAATTTCATACATATCGGCAGATAACTTTTGATGTTAGAGCGAGCTTAAGGCGCAACAAAGTGAAACAAGGGCCATAACCCTAGAATTGGCGGAAATTGCTTAAATTCAATAGGCTTCTTCGTTTCACTAATTTAAATCATGCATATAAATTTCAGAAAGATCGGAGAGAGAGAGAGAGAAATGGGGTTAAACGTCCACTCGACACAAACTAGGTCATTTCGGGACTAACATATAGTTCAATTTTATTTCCATAATTCGCTTGCGCGTAGGGGTCTTTAGCAGTGGGAGGAAACCGGAAAAAAACCATGAGGTCAGAAAGATCGGATGATAACTTTTGGTGTTTAGCGTTCACAAGGTTCAATAATTGAAACAAGGGACATAACCCTAGACATAATACACAGAAATTATTGAAATTAAATAGGCTTCTTCATCTCACTAATGTAAACCATATATGTCAATTTAAAACAATCGGATAATAACTTTTGGAGTTAGAGCGTTCACAAGAAATTGTGGACGACGGACGAAACGCCCGACAGAAAAACGGATGGGGACGACGGCAATATACATCCACATTTCCATGGGGGTGTATAAAGATCACATTTTATTAAAGCTAAAATATTACATTTTCTTGGGCATAGGGAAATAAAACCTTAGTTTCAAGTTTTTAAGTTTGGAAATTTCAAACCAAACAATAGTCATCAGGACATAAAGTGGCTATTAATTTATTCTCTCTTTCTCTCCCTCCCTATCCTTCTCTCTCTCCATCCCCCCTCAAGCTTCCATTTCAACCCAATTTCACACCACTGCATTTGGACTACATCAAAGCAGTCCAGGCTACTTTAAGCCACCTCCCACCTACCTTGTAAAACGGCTGTAACTTCCATTGTGGCTTTTTTGGTAGGACAGTATATAATGGTAGGTCCGTTAAAACTGGGTATTTTATTAACAACATCCAGCTGAGATCGTAAATCACACATAATATCGGATTTATTATTTACAGACAGAAATAGATTCGGTCTGAAAAAAAAAAACACAACAAAAAAAAGATAGGTTGCCAGGCAACGAAACATACGCCCACAGCAGCTAAATCGTCCGGGCAGTCAACAAGAGTTGTCACATATTTTTAAATTAAAATTCATTGAAAATCAATATACTTGTTTGTCTCAAGACTTTAAACTCTGTGTATCAATCTGAAGTCAATCGGATGATAACTTTAGCCTCTAGAGCGTCATAAGATTTTTCAAAGTGATCAAGGGCCATAACTCTGGCAGTAATTATCAGAAATTGTTGAAAATCAATATGTTTCTTCGTCTCATGACCTCAAACACAGTGTATGAATTTAAAGTCAATTGGATATTAACTTTAGCCTGTAGAGCATTTGAAGTGATCAAGGGCCATAACTCTGGCAGTAATCATCAAAAATCGCTGAAAATAAATAGACTTCTTTGTCTCATGACCTTAAACACTGTGTATAAATTTAAACTCAATAGGATATTAACTTTAGCCTCTAGAGCGTCCACAGGATTTTTTCAAAGTGATCAAGGGCCATAACTCTGGCAGTAATTATCGCAAATCACTGAAATTCAATAGGCTTCTTTGTCTCATGAAGTTAAACACTGTGTATAAATTTAAAGTCAATTGGATATTAACTTTGGCCTCTAGAGCGTCCACAAGATTTATTGAATTGATCAAGGGCCATAACTCTGGCAGTAATAATCGTAGATCACTGAAATTCAATAGACTTATTCGTCTCATGACCTTAAACACTGTGTATAAATTTAAAGTCAATCGGATATTAACTTTGAAGTGATCAAGGGCCATAACTCTGGCAGTAAATATCGGAAATCGCTGAAAATCAATAGGCTTGTTCATCTCATGACCTTAAACACTACTATGTATAAATTTAAAGTCAATCGGATATTAACTTTAGCCTCTAGAGTGTGCACAATATTTTTTGAAGTGATCAAGGACCATAACTCTGGCAGTAATTATCGAAAATTGCTGAAAATGAATAGACTTCTTCGTCTTATGACCTTGAACACTGCGTATAAATTTAAACTCAATCGGATATTAACTTTAGCCTCTAGAGTGTGCACAAGATTTTTTGAAGTGATCAAGGACCATAACTCTGGCAGTAATTATCGAAAATTGCTGAAAATGAATAGACTTCTTCGTCTTATGACCTTGAACACTGTGTATAAATTTACACTCAATCGGATATTAACTTTAGCCTCTAGAGTGTGCACAAGATTTTTTGAAGTGATCAAGGACCATAACTCTGACAGTAATTAGCTGGAATCGCTGAAAATCAATAGGCTTCTTCGTTTCATGACCTAAAACACTGTGTATAAATTTAAAGACAATCGGATATTAACTTTGACCTCTAGAGCATCCACAAGATTTTTTAAAGTGATCAAGGGCCATAAATCTGGCAGTAATTATCGGAAATTGATAAAAATCAATAGGCTTCTTCGTCTCATGACCTTAAACACTGTGTATAAATTTAAAGTCAATTGGACATTAACTTGACCTCTAGGGCGTCCACAAGACTTTTTGAAGTGATAAAGGGCCATAACTCTGGCAGTAATTATCGGAAATCGCTGAAAATCAATAGGCTTCTTCGTCTCATGACCTCAAACACTGTGTATAAATTTAAAGTCAATTGGATATTAACTTTAGCCTCTAGAGCGTCCACAAGCAATTGTGGACGCCGGACGGACAGACAGGGGCGACAACAATATACTACCACATTTCAATGTGGGCGTATAAAAACTCAAGCAAAATAGAATTACATCCCAAATCTTCTTCAAAATTACACCTCCTGTCTTCTTTAAAATAACACCTCAATTCTTCAAAATAAAATAACATAACAATCCAATAATTGTAGACAGATCTTGATACCTGATGGATATTCTTACCTATCAAATCCAGTACATGTAATTGTTGGTTTTTTAAGGTTTAAAGAACGACAAATATCACTTCTAACTTCTACAGTAGCTGTTGCAGTTAACGCTACAATAGGTACCTACAATAATAATACAACATAGGGATCTTCTATTAGGGATCTTCTACAGTAGCTGTTACAGTTAACGTTACCTTAGGTACCGAACATATTTATACAACATAGGGATCTTCAGTGAATTTTAAGAGACAGAAATTTTGTTGATTTCAATAATCATGAGAGAACACAGAAGGACTCGGAGAAAACCCATGAGGATAGGCAGGCGACCCTACTTAACTCAATGACAGAGAAAACCCATGAGGTTAGGCAGGCGACCCTACTTAACTCAATGACAGAGCTTACGATCTTAATCCCAGACGTTAGATCATTCGATCACACACACATCACAAAATGAACCAACACTGTGTGACTGGTCTTATCACAGAATGAACCAACACTGTGTGACATTGTCTGAGGGAGCAAATAAACAATTATTCACCTACTATCTGAACAAATTAAAATATTTACCATTGGAAATAAATTCTTCAAATTGCCTAGAGATCTATAAGCTGCCCTGAAGTCATGTCCCCACTGTGATACACAATGTGCTTCATCTATAGCTATCAAATCTATACCTGTAAATAAAGATAGGTTGCCAGACAATGACCACAGCAGCTAAACCGTCCGAGCAGTCGACAAGGGCTGTCACATATTTGTAGGTAAAGGAGCCTGTACAAGACACAGGTGACTCTACTCCTTGTCAAGTACAACCGGGGATTCGAAACCGCGCCAGCTGACTCAATGACAGGCTTTATGTTACAGCACGCACGTACTAACCATTCGGCCATCCAAACCCATCCAATCGTTATAACAAAAATGTATCGATACAGTGTATCGCGGAAGGTCGTATTGCAATATATTGATATACCAATATTGTTTGACAGTCCTAATCATAAGGGTGTAACAGTGATATATGAAAGGTTTTTAAATCAGACAAAAATTGTTATCTATAGAGGAACCACAAGTCAAAATCTGATAAAATTGTGACCTGTAGACTGTCCACAAACAAATTGTGGATGGACGGACAGAGGCGATGGAATAATACGACCACATGAAAATCTGGGCAAATGAAAAAAAATGAAACAAGGACCATAACTCTAGAAGTAATTAAAGGAAATTCTTCAAATTAAATAGGCTTCTTCGTCTTACTAATGTTAAAATTATATATAAATTTGAAATTGATCAGATAGTCTGTAGAATGTTCACGTAAAAAAAAAATACATAATACATCACAGAAAGAATGTAACCTTCATTCGACACAAACTAGGTCACTTCTGGACTAAAAAATCATTCAGTTTTATTTCAATTATACTTTAGCATTGGGAGGAAACCAAAGGACCCGGGAAAACCCCACGAGATTGCACAGACGGCCCTAATCCTTGTCAGCAACAAGCTGGGAATCGTCGACACAATGACAGATTATATGAACTAAAGCGAACACGTTAATCCTGGGTTGGAACTTTCAAGAAACTATTTAATCTATTTACAAGATAATGGCTACGAATATATTTGTCTTTCTCAAAATAACCCTAACCCTAACCCTAGTAGTGAGTAAGATAGCCCACTAACCTAGAGTTCACATTAGAGGTACAGGATGGATGGCTTGGCAAGGGATAGCGTATAGTCGTTTGGATGGGACGAAAAACCGAGGTCCTGTCTACACATTGGTGTGCACGAAAAAGGAATTCCATATAAGACTAGGCCGCATCATACATCTCTATACAGCGGGTTATCTTGACTCTTCTATAATGTATTATAACAATATTACTTATATTCTCTGTCATCACCGAGTTCTTGATGTGGAAATTTACACGGAAATATTTATTTATGGCTAGGGATATGATATCATGATATCTTTCCTATCTAAATTACCTCCTGCTTCTATATAGACCGAGTTGTTGATATATTATGTACATATTTATAAGCAGGAGGTAATTTAGATAGGAAAGATATCATATCCCCAGTCATAAATAAATGTTTCCGTGGAAAATTCCACACCAAGAACTCGTAGTAGGGTGAAATTCGTTTATAGATATGCATTATTCTTACAACTGATAATTTACGACCCAATAGTAAATGTTTAATACGTCGTACTAATCTACACCGTATTACTTAGTTCAGTCAGCTATATTTTAATGAATCTTAATCCACCTTAATTACCCCCCATTTATATCTATATCATATTTCCCTAATCACCTGTCTCCAATATTCTTTGTTTTACACTATTAAACATACATTATAGGAGATTAGATAAAGAGCTGGCAGTTCTCACTATAATAGTTATATACTAGATAAAGTAAAGAGAATTTGCTTAAAATTTCAGTCAAATTGATCCACTCTGAACTGAAAAATTAGCGATTGAATTTTCGACCTAGCCTTGATCATCATTACTAAAGTCGATGCGATAAAAATGTGGTCTCGATTATCCATTTCATGATTTAATCATGAATGAAAGTTGAACAACACAGCTAAGTATTTATCCAAATTACTCGCACCACTAGGGAAAACAGCCGACTCCTTTATCAAGGACTCTAATGAATTTTGTCTTCGTGTCAAAGATGTCAGAACTCCCGGGAAAATGCTCTCATACGATGTAGTCGATCTATTCAAAACTCCCGGGAAAATGCTCTCATACGACGTAGTCGATCTATTCACCAATGTACCAAGAGAAGAAGCATTGAGAATTCTTGAATCCCGTCTCCACCAGTCCGCTACACCGCTAGATACATCACTACAAGTTTACACAATTATTCGCCTGATTAAGCAATGTCTGGAATCAACTTACTTCAGGTGGGGAGATAATTATTATGAACAGATTCATGGATTACTTATGGGAAGCCCATTATCCCCCCTGATTTCTGAAATCTACATGACATCACTAGAGGAAGAAGCTATTTTAACCGCTCCTTTTCAACCGCTAGTCTGGCTCAGAAGGGTTGATGAAGAAGAAGAAGATGCGGTCGTCCTCCTGAACCACCTCAACAACCAACATCCAAGAATGAAGTTTACAATTGAAAATGAAACCAACAGCAGCCTCCCATTTCTTGATGTACTGGTAAGAAGAGAGAACGCCAATATCACCACCTCAGTGTACCGAAAACCAACACATACAGATCAGTATATCCACTACCAATCTAATCACCCCATCAGCACTAAAGCAGGCATTATCACCACTCTAACCAAAATAGCCAAGAATATCTGTGACCCTGAATCCCTTCCCGTAGAAATTCAACATTTAAAAGAAGTATTCACCCAGCACAACGGATACCCAGAACAAATGGTCAACAAGCTCATCAATGCCACACTATCCGACCTACCAAAACCTGATAAACCCAAAAACCATAAACCTCCAATTAGAATCTTTATACCTTTCCACGGCAACATCTCCCACCAAATCAGAAGATTATTGAAAAGTGAAGCACATATTGAAACCACTTTCTTGAAGGGCGCAACAACCAAAGACTTAGTAAAAGCATATGGAAAGTTAAACCCCACCAAACCCTTCTCACCAAAAGGCTGTGTCTACAAAATCCACTGGAGTCGCCAGGAAAGTTACATTGGAGAATCTAAAAGACCATTAGATATCCCACTGAAAGAACACATGTCAAAAGCCCTCACAAACCAATTTGCAGTTGCTGAACGTCTGAATGAGAACCCACGGCACCGAGTCGATTGGAGCAAAGTTAAAACGTTGGCTGTGAACCACCACAAGAAAAGAAACAGAAGAATACATGAGGCCATCAACATTAGAAGACATGAACCGAAACTGAATTGAGACCCAGGCGTTTATATCCCCAGAGCATATGACCGCATTATCAAATTGTAATTAAATTGTAAACACAGTCGCCTTAAAGTAATTCCCCCTGCAGAACCATATTTAACTACTGGCATTATCCAATACAGAATCGATTGTATATTCCATACCTCAACCCTCAGATTTTATAATCCTCTTTTATCAATATGTAAAATTTGTATGTTTCAATCATTTTCTATAATTTATTTAGCTAATCACAGTATTTTATGTCTATGTAACTCAATTACAATATCTTACCTCTCACATTTATAATTACAAAAGGTTTTCATCATAGGGCATTCTGCTCAATTTATCATAACATATTTATATTATATTCAACCCTTTGATATATATTTACCTTGTAAATACATACATGTATATGCAACTTATTACTTGACTATAAAACATAACCATCAAATTCTATATTTCTTAACTGTTAAAATCAATGAAATGATAATGGTTTCAATATAATTCTATAAACCCTCAGTTTGATCTTCTTGAATGTTTATTTAGTTAATCTTAGTATATACTGGTTTCAGTTATGGTATAATATGTATGATTTCAATATTTGTTAATCTCGGTTAATCCCCTCTTTCATCTTTTAATTGTACAATAAGCCAACTCTAATATATATGATTATGCACCTTTGTTACATCAATAGCTTGTTATAGCTACTCATGTTCACTCTCCTTGCATTCCATTGGATAGTTCGCACTTATGTTTGTATATATATATTCATATCTTTTCATATTTTATCTATTTGTGTATATGCTTGATAACGACTTGTGAAACCTTGTTAAACGTCGCAGTGAATTAAACCATAGTAATTGTTATCCATAAAAGTGTGTTTTTGAATAAGGTCATAACTGTATAAATTTACCATAAATTGCTTAAATTCAATAAACCTATTCATTTTACTACTGTCTGTTCCAAGAGATACTCTGACTCTCAAATTCCTTGCCATTTCTTAAGTTTTTAATTTAAACGGCCAAAAATTGGTGACATACCTGAAATTGTCATCCCGTTGCTCGCTTCGTCGAGCCCTAGCGCCTAAAACTTTGATAAGATCCACTCTCCTCTTGGAAATTTCACATATTTCGACATAGTTTCTTTCTCAAAACATCAACATTTCGCGTATAGGGTAGACAGGTATCTCCTAATCGGGTACATTCGCCCGTTTCTTTTGCGGCAGTAATACTTAGGTTTCAGACTGTGGATCATGTTTTTTGGTCGGATTGATATTATGTTCTGTTTTAACCCGCTTATTTTGCAGAAACTGCGCATTAAGCCACTCGGTTTTGGGGAGTAAGGTCTAGAGATATGACATTTTTATAAACATTTTATTAGTTTTCTAAGGTTCTGATCAGCTGTATATAAATATTCAAAATATATTTGTCCAGATTATTTCCCTTTGGCCTTGCAGTTTTTAGCCTATATATAAACTAAATAATAATTATCCGATTGACACAGAATCAAAGGCATGGTATACATGTTGGCACTATCTATAATACTAATTAATACAAAATATTATCTTATCGCAAATTAGCTGATATATATCTGGATATTCCTCGTAAATATGCAGAGCAAGGCGGGAATCGATTTTCGTACTCCGTTTTCCCGCAAATGTTATTTAACTTTTTTATTTTATAATATTTGTATTCTAAACATTTATCTACACGTAGGGCTGATATATAACATCAACCAAATATCCATGAATCATTTTGAATTTTTGCTATTTCTGAGAAATAGGCAGTTTTGTGGGAGTCACTTTTCAAAAGAATA